CATCTCTAGCGATGCTAACTTCAGCAACACTCCGTATCAAGGTTAACAAACATCTCTAGCAATGCTAACTTCAGCAACACTCCGTATCAAGATTAACAAACATCTCTAGCGATGCTAACTTAGGCAACACTCCGTATCAAGTTTAACAAACATCTCTAGCGATGCGAACTTCAGCAACACTCCGCATCAAGGTTAACAAACATCTCTAGAAATGCTAACTTCGGCAACACTCCTTATCAAGGTTAACAAACATCTCTAGCGATGCTTACTTCAGCAACACTCCGTATTAAGGTTAACAAACATCTCGTGAACTCCACACATCACTGGAAGTTTGTGTCGCCCAGTTTGCAGGAAAAATGCGAGTTTCTATGTAGGGCCGCGACACACAATTCCCAATGATGTTTTTACTGGTAAAATGAATGCTGTAGTAAACATAATGACCAAGAAACTACAAATTACACCATGATGTACACTAACACAACCAGATACTTGACACTCATCTCATGTGATAACATTGCCCTACACGGACGGACAGTACTCACGTTCTCTAACAAACTTGCTATCAACTCTAGCACTTCTTGGATGCGTACTCCAACAGCATACAAACTTATAAGGTGCTAAGTTAAAGTGATTACATAGGAGGGGAAGGTGAGCGCAACCAAGATAATAGCAAGCTGAAAGTCTCAGCTGTGAAGCAGGTTGGCGGATATACATGAGTATCGATAACGATACTGGCAAGACGATTGGACAATGCGTTCAAACCACTATTCAAGGACGCACAGTACCCTACCACACAAGTTGTGTGCCTCCGAAGATTCAAAGATGAATCGGAGGAAAAGCTAAGCGAAGATGAACGATGCAAAGTGGAACACCTTACAGTACTGTTCTTGGACTTTGAGAATTTAAATGGAAAATAAACATCAGTAACAAGTAGCATTTTCACACCACGATCGTTTCAACATGAATAATTTAAAAGGTTATTTTCCGTTGTCTGGCTGTTTTTGTCCATGCATACAGCAACGTTATCAACTCAGTCCTTCTGTGAACACGTCCTACATCAATGCTGCGAAGACCCTCTACGTCTCCATTTCCGTAGTTGGTCTGGATTCAAACCTTCTTTGGGGCATCTACTGGGTTGCTCCCATTGATTTTGGTGGCGAAGGTCTTCTATCAGGTCAATTCCAATGGCATCTCTTCCTAAACAGACCTCGACCACTTGTACAACTATCGAGCTTAGCGTTAACGGTACATAAAACGTCGGGTCTCGCCACTCAATGGAACAGGGCCGGATTATTTGTCCATAGTCAGGAGCTCACCGCAGAAGAAGTTAGCGCCTGGCTTCCGACTCAAATGAAGTCTGTTCTCGGTGGAACAATAGAAAATGTGACGAAACTGCTACACGAACGCTTCGACTCGCATGAGCGGTACCAGCAAGCTCTTTTAGATAGTCTGAAGCAAGGTATTCCAAAGCTGCTCCCTTACTTGCCCATGGCCTACCGCTACAGCAGACTTATCGAGCTTGCACACTGCTTTTATAACGCTGTAGCCAGAGACCCAACATTGTTCTCAGCGATGGAACGGGATACTAGCAACAGAACTGGTCATCCGTACCCACCATGTACGTGGACCCATGACCACGACCTCCATTGGAAAAGTGTGTACGAATTCAGGTCTACTCCAGAGGATGGCAAACATATCTCTAGGACCAGAGGCTGGATTGTCGTGACCGCTCGACTTTTAGATCATTCTGTTATGAGTCTCATGATCGCGGGAAAGCTTCGGACCTCCCAGATGAACGATTACTTCGAAGCTGTCACTGAGTACAACAACATCTGGAAAGATTTGCCGGAGTCTACTCGCCCCAGTCTTGCACTTATTCACTATAAGTTGGGAACGTTTCTCCTGTCATCAACAACAGCTTCGGACTCCAGGAAGGAATTCACGAAAATGGAATTGGTGAACGCCATGGTAATGTTAGGCAAGAAACTTGTTGACGAATCAACTAGCAAATCCGATACCTAACAATGTAGAGTAGAGCGCAGCACGTCGCTTACAGGAACTAACACTTGTTGCAACTTTGTATCTTGTGTTAGTATTCTCCCTATTCCTAACACGCAAACGCTGTACTATTGCGCTGATATCGGCCAGTGGCCAACCTGTGACTTGGAAGATTGTGTTATCGACTACCACTGCAAATTCGTTAATTTTGACACCTAATCTGTAATAATTGTTACCCGGTAATGCTTTTTTCTATTCCATGGCGGAGGTTGTTTGTTTGCCTTTTGGCTCTGAGTTTCCAGTTCTTTTCCTCTCTTCTAAGTACCGGTATTGCCTCTGGCCGGTTTCCTATGGCTATGCTTAGGTACCGAGAATAAAGTCATTAATTTTCTGTTGAACTCAAGTTTCATGTCAATGTATCAGTGCATCTACCAGCATACCGCCTATGCTGGTTCAAGTGACCCCAGGAAATTAGTGCAAGATGTGTATAATTATGGTATTTTTTTTATGAAAGTGCACATGCCTGCATAGAATGGAAAAGAACAACAGCAACAACATCAAGAGAACATAGGGGACTACAAAGGGCGTGTAGGGGCTATTGAGCTGTGCCGATGAGGTGAAGTGCGCTCCCCCGACCAATGGTCTCGGGATCCGCATCGGTAGGAACGCCACCTCCCCAAGGACCAATGCGCAGATGCAACTCCATAAAGCGCTGGAAGGTGACTGGATCAGACTCACCAAAGTGGTCAAAGACCGAAAATCCATTTCGCTGCATCCATCATGCTTCCCTCGTGTCAGGCCACGAGTTCCCAATAACTGTGGGTCGCAACACGGCTGTAAAAATTCCTTCCGCTTCCAGGCAGGACTTGAACCTGCATGGCATGCACCCTCTGTTTCTCAATCATGATCTTAGACCATCCCACTGTGCTTGTCGACCTATCCTACCTATCCTAGCTGTTTATCAAAGATAAAGCCGGTGGGTGAAAATCATATCCAGTAGATCTGCAGTGGCAGATTTCCGTGCTTGATTTGCGACCCGTGTGTAGGCTGTCCCCGGGGAAAATTGCGGAAAAAATCGCAAAAACGCGGGGAAAAACGCGGCATAATATGGCATAATTTGCGGTGAATTTGCGGTAAATATGCGGTAAATATGCGGTGAATAATATTGATGTGCGGCAATTTTCAGTGAGTATGTAGTGAAATCAATCGGTTACAAGTCTCTGGTGTACGCACTCGTCATATTTGAGTAAAAAGCCGCCACGATGAGACGTTGCTGACCGAACAGTGCACTGTGTGTACGTGTAGTGCAACAAAAAAGTTCAAAAAACGCGGGAAAATCGCGGAAAACGCGGTCTTTTAAAAAATCGCAAAAAACGCGGAAAAAAACGCGGCCGCGGAATTGCAATTTTCCCCGGGGACAGTGTAGGGCACATGCCACAGCGCTAGTACATTATCAGGGAGTCGATTTTCACCCACACCCGAGTTTGGGCGCTTCGGACTCCCTCGACTAGTAAGTAAGGGAATTATCGTGTCCGTTCCCGATGGACCGCCAACCCCAGAATGGTGCTCTGAAAACAAAAACCAAGAGTCAATGCGGCTTCAGCTGCAGGAGTAGGATATCGGTGCCCTTACTAGGATCAACCAGGAGAGAATCCGCAAAGAATCGCTACAAAACCGTGATGTTTTTGTTCTGACTTTCCTCAAAGAATCTCAACAAATCTATTACAATTTTTGTGTTTTTTCTTACTTTGACATCAGCATTCAAGCTACAATGTTTACGTAGCTGTTGCAATCGCACAATCCACTACATGTAGCAGTATATGGTTGCAGCCCATTGATTAGGATCATTCGATTCACAGTTTGTGGTAGGGCTGGGGGGGGGGGGGGCGTTTTCGTCCCCGTAAAGCAGTATGAAAATTGGACAATAATCCGTAAAAGTAAGATTTTGAGACAAGAGTAAAACGTGAGGAACACACCCTAGAATTGTGAGATTATAATAATTTGACGTGCAACGAATGCATTTTCTGGCCAGGTCATCCGTGTTGAGACACGACCCATACTAGTAGTAACTAGTGATTGTTCACTTGTGCCGGTCAGAGAATGATAAGGAGAATGAAACGACGAATTGTTCGATACTGTGAGAGGAGAGTGAAAAAGAAGAGAATTCGAGAAGACTAGAATGCAGGAAGGGACCAGCCAAAGTAACAATCACCCATAGAGATGTGGGGGGAGAGCAAATAATTCATTTTCCCTAGAACTGTAGAACTATGGAAGGAGAGCAAAATTTTAATACAAACTATCCCTAGAACTTCGAGAGGAGAGCTAAGGCAATAACAAACATAGTCCCTGGCATTGTGAGAGGTGAGTTCCAATACATGTACATACTGTATTTCCCCGATAATAGGTCGCACCTGTTTACACTAAAAATCAAGGGTGAAAAAGGGGGCCCGGGGTGCGACTTACAATCGAGCATGACTCACTACTAAACTCAATATAACAAAACATTATGGCTCAAACTTGGAAATGGGGGTGCGAATTATAATTGACTGCGACCTATAATCGGGGAAATACGGTAGGGGAGTATTGCATATATTAGACAGATGGGTGTGGTCCTTCAGTTATCACTTCAGCTCAGCATTCGTAATAGAGCAATCTTAAAATGATTTCAATGAGCATTTTTTCGAGTTCATGGAGATGGAATCAGAGCCTTTATGAGTTACACCATGCAACTCGCTGGTACTTTCACTGTAATTGGTGGTGATTGAATAGCGACCAGTGCTGTTGGAGTACGGGTGCATAATTAGCATAACCATGACTACACACGACTGCCTCTTTGTCGACGAGCTTGGGCGATCGTGTGCATATCATGCTGTGGGTGAAGCATTTTGTAACTATGACCACACATACCGCGATTGCGTGTTAGTCGGCGAGCGTGTGCGATCCAGTGGATACCGTGCCGAACGTGCGGCATTATAGTAACCAAGGCGACATGTGACTGCCTCTCAGTCGCCGAGCGTGTGCGATCCTGTGGATATCATGCTGGGCGTGGAGCTGTCGGCTGAGATGCCGCCAGAGTGTGCGCAGCCGGGCAACAGGTCTTCACTCACCATCTTCGTCCCGGCGGGAACCAGAGCGATCATGTTCCTAACCTGCGCCGCGTGGACGCCCGTCGCTCGGAGGTGCTCCTCCGGGTCAGAAGAAGACATGCTCTCGTAGTTGGTCCTGTCCGTCTCGTCCTGTGTGATGAACGGCAATGGCTGAAGGTAAAGGCTTTCGGCCGTCACATCCAGGTCCGTCTTGGGGGTTGGAGTGTGCTTCATTGTCATGGCTTCGTTGGCCTGCGCCACGGATCGTTCACTAGTGCCGGACGGAAAAGCGCTGCCATCAAACTTGGAGGTTGTGGAGTACGCTTCGGCGCCGGGTAAAGCCGGAGGGACCAGATGTCCCGGTGGCGGGGTGTCATTACGCACACCCACAGCAGTTCTGCCTTCCGATTCCGTGTCCATTCCGAGAGCCGACTTCATGCCTCGCATGCCAGCGTCGCCATGCTGTGCCGTGTTGCCGCTTGGAAGACAAAATGTCGGCACGCTATTGGCCGTTTGCGTGCGAGACCGCCGCAAGGGCCGAACAATCGCATCAACCGCAGTGACACTCGACTCTCTTTCTTGCCGTCGGCGCGGCGACATTGCGTAGCCGAGCGTGTATTCATGGTCGTCATCATCTTCGTCCATGTTGTTACCGTACAGTCTTGGGCTGAGCACGATGACTGGCGACGGTCCCAGCTGGACATCCATGAACTCCCTCGACTCCAACGTGCTGTCATTTCTTGTCCGGGCCGGCTCGAAGCTCTGTCTGTCCCACTCTCCACTGGTTTCCGCTTCTTGCACCGGTTCACCCACGGACGAATACACGCACGCATTGGTGGCGTCTACACTCGCAGCCGCCTCACCACCACCATCACCACCACCACGGCTATCGTTAACCAGAGAGTGAAGGCTCTGGTAACGGTTGAGCAGCGGCAGGGGTCTGTTGGCCCTATTGCTGCGACTCTGCTGGTTGTGTCTATCCCGGTGCTGGACTTGGTTCGAGTGGCCACCAGACTGTGATTGGCCATGTCCACCCATACCTGGACGTCAGAAACAACGATGAAAACAACAAAACGGTGCAAGGACTAGTTCTACACGCACAGGAGAACCACTTCTTGTCACTCTGGTGTTGAACTGTGCACGTCTGACTGTACACATGTTAATCTGCTCTAGTGGGTAGACTAAAACATAATAACTTGTGCCCCGCTGTTCACCATGTTTCAATTAACTGTAAAATTTCACTTTTTTCAATTTACACTTCTGCATTGGCAGACAGATGTGCAGCCACTATCAGAAAAAAACAAGTCCCCATGATAATTGTTCGAATGCGTAGAGTTCCCTCCCATCGTTGTTCTCACGGTCTGCTGACTGTAATATACACCACCGCCACCACCAGCACCAGCATCGGTGGCAGCAAGCAGCAGCAACAGCACCACCACCACAAGCAGCAGCAGCAAGCACAACCACAGCGGAAAAGCTTACGTAAGACCAGCTTGCGCCTTTGATGGGAGCGCCTTGCACGAATCAGCAGGACGATTGCCGGCAAAAGGAGGAGAGCAACTGCACCAGCAACCGCACCTATGATTACACTTGCTGAGATACCGCCACTGTCCATTAAACCGGGAACCGTAGTCGCTGAGGAAGTGAGTATTTCTGTGACACTTGTACTGCTCATTATATCTGGTAAAGAAATGACAGAGAAAAGAGCGGCATGACATTCAAGATCAAAAATCATTACACTGGAAAGGTATAAGTAGATGTGGCGGGATGATAGACGAATACTTTTCATCACCGGGTGAGTTAAGGTTAGTTTGACAAGAGTAAAGTGTCGTGGATCAAGTTGTGGTTCTAAGAACGTTTAACATGGCAATGTACATGTTTAGCCTGGAAAATAGGAACGTGGTAGGCTGGAACTGATAACATGCACATGTGCACATGCACAAGTACGTACGTGTTCGCACGCACACACGTACACACACACACACACACACACACACACACACACACACACAAACACGCCTCTAGTTCTGGTGGCGGAGCACTGAGCTGCTCTCCCTTCGTCTCATGGTAGAGCAAGTATGTGTGCACAGAACTGTATTGAAGTGGTAGACCAAGTATGTGTGCACAGAACTGTATTGAACGTGGTGGTAGCGACTACAGTGATCGTGTTAAGAAAGTTTGTAGCACCTCAGCGTCTGTGTGCCAATAAAATATCAAGTCTAATCGACAGGTCACAGTTTGATCAGTGGAAATTCTGTGCTGCTTATGATACCGAATGTTCTTTGAAAAGCACTCAGACAAGCAGAGGCATTGGAGCCGGTGCGGCACATGTGACCAAAGCCGCACAGATAGTTTCATCTAGTTATTTTTAAGAAAGGTTTGCTCCCCACACCGGAGCTCGCGCTATTCCGCCGACTTTACTTGACACTTGACTGACTCACGACTGCCATCCAGAGCACACGAGAAGTCCATCGAACCTTCGACTCGGCAAACCTGCAAGAAAGCACCACTCCCTGCTCAATACACAGTGTTTCGGGGAATTCACCCCTCATCAGTGTGGGGAGCAAACCTTTCGTACAAATCATCGCCGAAGTCGCAACCACTACTTCGTACTAGTTATTTTTGAAACAATAAAATATGGGCTATTTGGGCCCAATTTTCGAAATATTTCCTCCCCACACACACACACACACACCTCTCCATGGCCACACCACTATCAAATGGGTTTCGACGACCCTGAGAGGATTTAAAGCTGATCAGCTGCTGTCCTACCTTGTGTGATCGCTCCATTGGGAGAAGAAGGCAGAGTTGCCACTGCTGCTGTAGTCAGAGGGCCGTCAGTACGTATCGCGGACGACGTGTGGCTGCGGTCAGTCGGGGGCGCCGTTGGTCCCGCCTCCCTCGTGGTTGGGGCATTCACTGCCGGTGTACCAGACATACGCTGACTGCTTGCAATGTCACTGGGCAATGTAGTTGCAGCACCAATTGATTCAGTGGTTGCACCGCCATTCGGCAGGGTGCTTGGAAGGCCATTAGGCAGCGTGCTTGCAGCACCACTATTGGACACTGTAGTTGCCATGGTGCTCATGTGAGAGCTGACCTTGGTGGGATTCGGTGTGGAAGCCTCAGTTGTTGGAATGCTTGTGGTCATGACAGCTGGTGTTGGCGTGGTAACGGGAGTGGTCATGGCATCAATTGTTGGAATGCGCGTTGTCATGGTACCTGGTACTGTCATGGCACCTGGTGTTGGCGTGATAGCGGGAGTTGCCGTGGCATCATTGGCAGCACCACCAGGCACGCCGGTTCTGCGGGCATTGTCCGATTGAGACGGGCTAACACTTCCTGTTCCCAGCTGCGGCACTGTCGGCTGTGCCGGAAGTGTTCTCGTGAGCGGACTAGTGGTCACACTGGCACGGGAGGGTGTTCCGTCTTCAGTTGGCACAGCAGCACCATCGGTCATTGAGGGTGTAGGTTGGGTTGCGGTTGGTACAATATCATTAGTCGATGCAGCTACGACTGGAGACTGGGTCGTTGTCCTGATCATGTCTTGGCCTTCAGTAGCCATTGCGTCGGCGTGGTTGGTTGGTGTTGAGCTCGCGGAGCCAGGCGTCACGTTTCCAGGTGCCATCCGGAGCAGAGCAGGGGTCGTCTGGGCGGGGAATGTGCCTGTGAAGCTGCCGGTGGCTATACCGGATGAATCATCCTCGTTCTGGCTCTGCTTCTCTGCGTCGTTCGGAATGCTATGCGTCATGTTTAGTTTCGAACTGCTCGTCTGGGTGGGGAGTGTGTCTCTGGTGCTTGTTGGACTAATTCCCGACGAATCATCCGCATCCTGGTTCTGGTAATGGTTTTCCGTGTCGTTCTGAATGTTATGTGTTGTTATCAGCCTCGAATTGCTCGTCTGGGTGGGGAGCGTGCCTTCAGACCTGCTGTTCAGGGCTATGCCCGACGAATCATCCTCGTCCTGATTTTCGTTCTCAGTGCTCTTCTGAATGCTATCCGTCAAAAGTGGACTTGAATTGCTCGCCTGGGTAGAGAGCGTACCTTTGGTGCTGCTGGTGAGGAGTATTCCCGATGAATCGTCCTCGCCCTGCTTCTCTGCATCATTCTGCTCCTGAATGTCATTAGATCGTGTCGGTATTGGGTGTGAACGGCTGAAAGCGGCCCCGGGCACCGGCATACTGAGGCAGAGGAGCAACGCCACCAGTAGTGGCTGGAGCAGTGGTAGCATTGCGCTGGCCTGCAGTCGGCAAAGGCAACCCTGTACATGGGCAGCGGACAACAGAGCGGAGGCCGATCGAGAGACAAAGCAGAGAAGAGTAGACAGGCAACTACTGTAAAACCAGAAAGTCTAATGTTTTAACGACCAATTCTTTTTCGTTATTTGAAAAATACGTTATCGCTAGATGTCTGTGTAAAGATGCGCATACAGATGGGTGGCCAGGTAACCATCGTTAAACTTGCTGCACGTAATCATGCCACAATTACAAAAAACGTTAAACTTTTTGATCGTTAGACTTTCCGGTTTTACAGTACATGTACATGAGTACAATACGTTGTTCTAGCCTGTGGCCGACAAGACTGCCATAGCAGCACTGGAGCCACAACTGCACGTTTCTGCTTGCCAGAAACCCTGGCTCGTGTGCAGCCAAGGACATAGCTTTTGTTGCATATGTTTCAGATACGACCGCACGATCTACTGCCGGCCTCTCGGGCACGGTCGGATTCCACGGATACTTTCTGCATGGAAAATTCAGGCGATCGGCAATGCTACAAATCATGGACAATGCACATTTCACCCGGTGTGTATGTACTGCTTTTCCTTTGTATCCTAGAAACCTCAATAAACTGTTCCCTAGGAACCTGTTGATGAACTGATAGCAGCAGCCTTTCCGCATGCGGCTGGGGGCCAGGAAAGGTTTTCCGTCAATCCATGGATACCCTGCCTGGACCGCCATGCCTATGTAGCGTATAGCATATCCCCGTTCGATAGCGTATCCCCGTACATTAGCATACGGAGTCTGCCTGTGCATTAAAGCTGCTGTTCACGATTCTTTTGAGCCAGTTAATTTCATTGCCAGTTATAGTTACATTTCAATTGCCAGTTACAGTGTGTTCACTGAGACCCTTGTATATTCTTGCCTCCGAGAGACTTCGGCCCGCTACAAAATTGGTGGCAGCGGTGGTTAAAGTCAACTTTGTCAGATTCGACCCCACCTGTTTTACATTGGTAGCAATGGCGCTACAAAATTGGTGGCAGGGGTAAAGTTTTGTTCTAGTTGCATGCTTTCCGACGTAATGGTCGCTACACATTTGTGACAGCCGTCAATTTTAGTTTTAGTTTTCATCCACGTTCGCTGAGGGCTCAAGTTAGTGTATCTGAAGGAGCACCCGCCGTCACCCGCCGCTGCCCCAGCTCCGCTGCTCCCGCCGCCCGCCACAACTAGCCAGTCATGATGGCAGCCAGCATGTCTCTAGGGATTGGGCTCCATGACAGATAGCGCTAGCGTCTCAAAGGATGGAGCTCCATGTACATTGCCAGTGTAAGCTAATTCCAGATATGGCATTTTCTTTCCTGTCTTCCTTCAGTCTTCCTGTTCTCTTCAGTCTTCCTTTACGCGAGCGTGTGAATTCAGTTTAGTTTTGTAGGCGTCTGATCATGGTGAACCATGGTCTATCTAATTAATCTGGGACGATGTTACTATAATTATATACATATCCCGGTTGACGCTCTATGTTCTTTCGTCGAGGTTGTCCGGACGCGACCATGCATACCTCCAAATGTTTCGACCACCAAGCCGCTACTAATCACGAGGACGTGATTGTATTTGAGAGGGGAGGTGTAGCGTATAGCATATCCCCGTTCGATAGCGTATCCCCGTACATTAGCATACGGAGTCTGCCTGTGCATTAAAGCTGCTGTTCACGATTCTTTTGAGCCAGTTAATTTCATTGCCAGTTATAGTTACATTTCAATTGCCAGTTACAGTGTGTTCACTGAGACCCTTGTGTATTCTTGCCTCCGAGAGACTGCGGCCCGCTACACCTACATCTGGTATCTTAACTACGTTATGTTCTATGTGCCCTGTGCAGACCGCTCTGGGAGTTATAAAAGTATTGATAACAACAGACAAATCCAGTCTGCAGGGAACGCTTGTCGCCGTTTTCCGCCAAAAGGACGCGCAAGGATCCGAGCACACCCTTCCAACATGGGTGGTGTTGGTAATGTCAGAGCATCAGCAGGGCAGAATACTACCTCATAAGGACGAACGACGTTGACTCCAACCGAACAACCTGGGTCCAAGTGTAGCGCTGGCAAGCTGGTGACTCACACAGCTACACTCACTTTCTATGTAATTGGCATGCTTGTTACAACCACTGCACTTTTAAGTCTTTGCTCGCATTGACTACTGCCTAAGTGCAGGCTGCTTCTGTACTCCACTCAGCCTGCCATGCATTCCTTTCATGTATTCGGCTGCAAGTACTGATCCATTTCCCAATGTAGCATATCCGCTGGCCATAGTAGCTAAAGTACAAAGTCTCACCCTTTAGAAGCCACTGTCACAATTCAGTTCACTTCAGTTCAGTTCAACCTTCGTTCCAGTCTGTATTGCAGTTCAGTAATAGTAAACAACAGTGTCTTCACGGAGACCCGTGTGTATTTCGCCTCCGAGAGACTGTGGCCCGCTACAAAAGCAGAGGGGAAGAACAGATTTGTCTGCCAAGCCTAAATAAGTGAATACGCTAAGCAGTGATGAGATGAACACTAGCACATGCTCGTTGCAGAGTGCGTCGTTTCGGGTCGCCGTCCCTTCAGGCAAGAAAGACGCCTACATGCAATCACGTTGGGGGGTTTCAGAGTGCATTACTCGCCCTATAGTGCGATTCAAAAGTATAGACCTCTAGATTTTTTGGAATAATTCAAATTTGGTTTGAGCTTTTTGAGAACTTTCTTCGGAATATTGCTCAGGCAGCTCACGCAATTTTTCTCATATAAATTTAAAATTTCTAAGCGATATTGGATAACAGACGCCCAATTTCGAAAAAATTATGCACAAAGTGATCACAGATTTTATGTGGTACAGATGCTGGCCTAACGGTTTTTTGAAACCAGAGGTCTGGACTTTTGAAACGCACTACAGTCAGACCTCGCTTATCCGGTCCTCGTTTATCCGGATCCCTCGCCATCCGGAAGAAAACCGTTGGTTACCAATTTACAGCATATGCCATGCTTACATACAGTATGTGTGTTCAATTATCCGGTTCCCTCGCCTATCCGTATATTATTGTTGAAAACGGATGTGTGCGGTTATGCGAGGTCTGACTGTATAGTAATCGATGTATACACCAAGAACGAGACCTTGCAACGAAATCAGTCCAAACTTGTTTTCTGGCCAGGTGCAAGTGGTGCTCTTTAAAGCCAAGCAGCAGGACTCTGACCGAACAACCTTGGCCAAAGAGCCCAGAGCCCTCACCACGCTTTGATTTGTACCTAGTTCATCATGCGTGTTATTCGAAATGGGGCAAACAAAGTAAAGATAGGGCTTTCAAGCCCTCTCGTCAGTCCAGTTACGTTAGGCCTACATAGTTTTAAAAATAAACTGAAACTAGCAGCAGGCTTTTCACATGCTGCTGGCGGCGTGAAAAGGTTGTCCGCCAGTCCCAGGATCCCCTGCCTGAACCACCATCCATGCCTACATCTATTATCTAAACTACGGTCATGTGCCCCCGCCCCGTGCAGACTGCTCTGGGAATCATCAGTTTATCAGTCCAGTTACGTAAGTCATTAGGCCTCAGGCCTAACGTAATTGAACTGATAAACTACCCTGCATAGTAAAGTACAAGCAAACTTGCTGGCGGAAGCCATCGCACACAAGCACGTGCGCTCACTCAGTCCAGGCAGGTGTTTATCACAAGGACAGGGAGGCAGCAATGCCGAATCGTGTAGCTAGAATAAAACAAAGACATCACAACGGCCCCACTCCCCAACTTTCAAATCCCGCTCCACGTACTCCTAACAATCTCTGTCTGTTCTTCTCAGTTTGCTCTCCTTCACCTCCTAACACTGTCTGTCCTACCCCCCACCCCACCCCCCCCCCCTCATTTTAATGTATTGTCTCTCCTTCTATAGCATTTCATTATTTTCATGGACCTGTCACTTCTCCTTTTTTCCCTCTTTTTGGTGCATTTGATGTCCCATGATGCCAAGACCTCAGGTCGACTGAGGACAACAAGCCTCACCATCACTATGCTCCCATAATTATGCATTTTTTCGTATATGCGCAAGCACCACTGCAGCCACTCCATTACCTGGAAAACCTTACACGCTGAGATCCTGATGTTGGCTTCCTGGCCAAAAATTTGATTGAGATAGTTATTGTACATGTAATTTGCAGCGAAGAGACCACTTGGATTGAAGATGGTGCGTGTAAGGTTTTCCAGGTAATTTTTTCGTACTTGCGTGTATAAAGCTGTGATCACTGTAAAAAAAATAACACACAAACAACAACTAACCTGGTGCATCAAATTCGTCGACCCTGTCCAGTTTGGCTAGGTAGCATGTGGTCCGCTCCCTTCCAGACTGGAATGGAGAATGTCCAGCCTCCACTCCAGGGCTTCTGCAACGCTTTGGTCCCCTTTCCAGTCACGTTGGTCCGCCAGCCAGTTTTCGGCTCTCACTTGCACACCGTCGCTTGTTTTCCCAGGTGCTTGTCCTTACGAGAATCGCCTCCAGCACGAACCACCGAACATCAGTTAGCTCGCCCTTCGCTCAGCTCCGTCGGATCGCGCGCAACGGGTCGGGAGTAGTAAAGTTTCGCGAGACTGAATAAAATGCCTACACTCTGCATGTACTCGTAGCTACGGTAAGCGTGTGCGTACACACGTACGGTACGGTAACGTACTGCGCAGTCTAGCCGTGCATCAAAAAATAATGAAAAAGTCACAATAATTATAACGTATACCGTATACGGCAAACAAAGAGCTCGATCGAACGCTTGTAGACCCGTGGACCGTCCGATCGAATTCTTCGTTCACCGTATACAATATACGGTATATTGGGGTAATGTTGCGCTGATCCACGTCAGCTACTGTACATTGTAGCTGCTAGCTTGTCTGTGATCAAATTCAATTAAACCAGTTTCGTCGAAGCTGCCTGATGTTCTATTACCAAGCATTGGAGATGGGCCGCTCTGCGATCGCTGAGGCCATGCATGGTGTTGTATCCATGGACGCCATCCGCACGAAAAAAGCAAAGAGGAAGCACACAGAGGAAGAAACAAGAAGCAGGAAGCGTAGGAATGCAGGGAAGGGGATTGAAGAAGGTGCCGCCGATCAAGACGACGTTGTGTACGAACGTGGCGCTTTCTAGATCATTGCTGGAGTCATCTCGGATCCTAGCTAACTTTTTTCTCTTTTTCTTTTCCTTTTTCCGCTGTTTTGATCCATTCCGATGAGGTTTCACCAGAGTTTAGTTAGGGTAGTTATCAGGTTCTGTAGGATTTACATGTACTTGCAACATAATACTTTTTGCATTCTTGAAATCTATACTAAGTCAAAGTCGGGCACCATGAGCTAAGAAAGTATGTTATCATAGCGACTGTATTGCTGATATTGCAGCTAAAGACACCAGTTACCGATACGTACGCAGCCGTGTTGAAAACTGTGTTGGCTTGTTCTCCTCCGGAATGGAGCAGGATTGTTGTTTAGCTGAGCCTGAAGTAACAGTTAGTTGCTCCTTGGTGGCACACACACACACACACACACACACACACACACACACACACACACACACACACACACACACACACACACACACACACACACACACACACACACACACACACACACACACACTTCCTGCCGGATGTGACCCTTGACTGACTCATGACTGCCATCTGGAGCACACAAGATGTCCATTGAACCGCTCGTTAGGCAAACCTGCAAGAAAGCACCATTCCCTATTCTCAATGCCCAGTGTTTGGAGAAAATTAACCCTTCATGAGTTCAGCTTGAGCATGCTTAAGAAATTGGTGGTCCTGGAGCACTGCCTTTTAGCGCTCAAGCAGCCCAAACCAGGGAGTCTCATTAAGCCATAAACCCGGGTTTATACGGCTCCCTGGCCCAGACATGACCAGGGATACACACTTAGAGTAGCGCTAAGCTTCCAGCGCAATGAGCACGTCGGTACATCGTTAGGTAGCGGAGTGATTCACGGCTAGGGGTGTGCGGATAATGCTCGAAAAGGTGGCCGATTCTGCTCGGAAAGCAGTGAAATTGGCAGAACCATACAAATCTTATGGCGGGTAATTCCTCGAATTCTGCTCCATTTCTTTATCCACATACCAAACATGCGTGAAACTTACCAGAAAAGGTACCGAATTCTGCCAATTTTTCTGCCGGCGTTGTCCGCATAATCTAGTCACGGCAGCTGTGCTAAACAGGCGCCAAGAGCCAGTAGCCATTCACAACTCTGTCACAACAAACAACTGGTCGCACGTTCGCGTGAGAGACAGCAGTACGAACTTAGACGTCGTTGTGTCTTCGGAGGCGTTGGAAGATGAAGTCGGTTGCCTCAATATTATAATATGAATATTTTTTGTTACTTCCATGCTCCAATCAGGCAATCAGTCACCTTGTGATAATTATGATGAATAGAGGAGTGTCACAGTGGTGGGGCTGAGCCGCTAAGCACACTTAGTCAACCTGAGGTCTCTGCCGCCATGTATGCCCAATATTGCCCAGTGCACCGAGTGATGAGAAAAGAGGAGAAGAGGGAAAGAAAAAAAGATCATGAGAACTAGGATTTGACGGTCCGCAGACGTACGCCGAGGAATTGAGATAATAAGCGAATGACAGGATAAGTACATGGGGCGGGGTAAGGCAAGTCCGGGTCAGTACTGTTGTATAGCCAGGGAGAGACAACTATCAGTACTGTTGTATAGCCAGGGAGAGACAACGAGGGAACGTTCCGTTGACCATCAGGTTGCGAGAAGGTTTAAAATTCGGAGGGCGAGAGTGGAAGAGTGACGGACAGGAGATCAAGAACCGAGCAGAGATCAGTTGCCGAAAACGCAGTCTTTCAAGTTTGCGTCTGAGGAAAGGGTACAGTGGTAATGGTAGGCCTTCAGTTTGAGGGTACGAAGGTATGTAGGCTGATCACACAGCATGGGGCTGTTTTCCCTAACAGTAAAACAATACACAACAAAAACAGGGAGAAAGCGAAGACAAACATGAGCAATTCACTTTTCAGATCACGTACATCAGTCATCAGTCCTCAGTCATCGTTGACATTGTCAATTATTTTGTCATAGACACATACAAATGTCACACCATGTCGTCACATAATGTCAGACGTACACCATGTACCAGATGTACACTGTGCTACCAGTCTACATGATTGCACTGAGTAAAATAATTTTTGTAGTAAAGACTACGGACAGTACAGTTTCCGCATGATCAGATCTAACGCAGTGACCATGGTGACCAAACCATGGTGATCCTGTGTCAGACGTTTTGACTTGAAAATGAAACAAACTTGACTAATGAAAATGGTATCACTTCACTTGTTTGAAGAAAAACTCTATCATCAACGCAGACGCCCATTCCAACAACGGTCATTCATCCAACTCCTTCTTTCAGTCTCTGGTCCCGCTAGCTGTAGGTACTAGGTGGCTGTGTCTTGCACATCTCAACGTCTATCGATCTACCGAGACGGTTGGACCATTTCTGCAGACCCGTGTGTCATTCCGCTACGGAGAGGAATACTAGTATTTTGCATGTGCTGCGGAGAAAATTTTGCCTCGGATAGGTTTCTCTGAACGGAGAGGTGCACCGGCATCTCGTATCAAAATCAGTAAAGGAATAAGGGGTGATTTGGAGGTGGGGTAGTGATCATGTCTGCGTCTTCAGCGTCTCACTACGCCCCGCCAGGCTCCGCAGAGGACCGCAATCGTCGATGCGAAGTGGTCGTCGATGGCCCGACCATAGCGCAGCAGTCCAGCGCTCGTTCTAACGCCAGCGCTGGCAAGAATCTGGCGAGCGGTGCACGTTCTACGACCACCGCCGCTGCAGCGCCGCCATCCGTGATGCGCACGGCGAAGGCGTACGTGCGGACTAGGCCGAGTCAGCGATTTGCCAACGATCGCATCCTCATCCAGAAAGAGCTGGGACAAGAAGCGGTGAGCGTGTAATGTAAATTAATAGTGAAGAACATTAAATTATTTTATCCACTGTTGTTGACTGCGTGAAAAAACTATCCCCGTCTTGGCGTGCTGCTGAGTGCAGCTGTTGGCAAATTTCTTCAGATGCTATAAGTTAGCATTGCGACGGGGCGCAAGTACTGCTATGGACATGGAAATCGGGTAGAAAGATCGAGGCCGGCGCCCTTATGGCCCCTTATCGCTTACACGTTCCGAAGTTCACGTTCCCACTGTGAAAAGTGACGAGCCGTGTTTACGGCCACAAGGCCAGCGCCACGTGGCCGCTTGACTTCTCAACGGATCTCAAAGTCCACAACAACAGCTTACCGGTGCAGTACTGTCGGACCGGCGAAAAACTTCCAGGCTAGAATTTCACCAATTTTTAAGAACGGTGTAGTCTGGATGGTTTGCAGATAAGTACGGAAACCGCAATATACACCATAATGTACACTCAGACGTATAACTCTGCATACATGTACATGTAAGACTGTACCATCGAATGAGAACGAAACTGCTGTGTTTGCTAAGAATAAGAACGGGCTAGGCTACAACCCTGACCCCCCCCCCCACAGTTCTCTGGCGCTCGGCAGTACTGTAATCAGTTAATGCTTCAATGGTCCACAGCTCACCGTGCCAAGACATAAAGAGACATACAGTCAACTTCGCTAATAACGACTGCGGATATAACGACAATTCGCGAATAACGACATAATTTTCATGCCCGGAGCAAAGTCCCATCCAACTGTGATACATATAATGAGACTTCGGATATAACGACACTTCGCGAATAAGGACACTTTTCTGATGCCCCGTCGAGTGTCGTTATAAGCAAAGTTGACTGTACATGTAGGTCAGAAAAAGGTCCTGCAGGCTATGTTTGGCCAAATGACGTCACAGCCCCGGGGGAACCGGTCCGGTTGGTCAGGGTATGACGGGATCACCTCTTTGGCCACCAGAGCGTGTTTTCTGTTAGCCAGGTCATACATACCTGCCATGTCATGTACAGTCAACTTCGCTAATAACGACTGCGGATATAACGACAATTCGCGAATAACGACAGAATTTCCATGCCCAGAGCAAAGTCCCTTCCAACTGTAATACATATAATGAGACTTCGGGTATAACGACACTTCGCGAATAAGGACACTTTTTGGATTCCCCAGCGAGTGTCGTTATAAGCGAAGTGGACTGTACAACATGTGAAAGACTATGGTATGGCCAGGCTGATCAAACACTGCTTCCGCTGGTCTTGTTTTACCATCAGACATGATAATACGAAAACAAGGTTGCAAGATTGACACACGGAGCTATGATTCGATCTCTCCTCTGGTGCATCCATTGTTGTCTGTTTGTTTTTGTCTGTTTTTCTGTCTGCCTGTTGGTATGTGTGTGTGTATGTGAACTCGCGTATTTGCACATGTGCGCAATATGCGTGCACATGTATTTGTGCATGTGTTTGTGCGTATGTGCGTGGTGTGTATGTACATCTGCATGGATGTTATGATTGTGCTGGCCACAAACTAATGACAATCGTATACGCATACACACACATGCAAACACAACATGTTGCAGATCACTATCTTGAAGCCACGCAACCCGGATGCTGCACACTTCCTGAGGGATCATACCATAGGTGAGTTAGCAGCAATGCACAAATAAAACATGGAATTCTCCGGAGTAAAAGCTGCATTGGAGTATATGCCGCATCCAGTTCTTTTTGCCACGGAATGCAGACGTATCCCCTGTTTATCACTGGTAATTAGACCATTGTGGCATGAGCCGAACCGGCTTTTTTGGGTGAATTACTGGTGTTTAGAGTGGGGCTTATACTCCGAAAGATACGGTATGCTTTAGGCCCTATCCGGGACAGTGTTGATGTGATGCGGGGTTCAGACACGCAAACAAACGTCTTCGAAAGCAGTTGATATACCACTTCACCTTAAGGCTTCCTTTGCTTCAATGCCCTGTTGTTGTTTTTGTTGTTTTTTACTTCACCAGACACACCGGCATTCCTGCCTTCTCGTCTAACCGAATAGCTACACTCTCGATAAAGGATGAGGAATATGAGTGCAGTGTTGCTCAATGAAATCCAGTCGCTTCACACAAGTACGCACTGGGTGTTGCTCAGTCCTACACTTGCAAACACTGGGCTGGGAAATGATGCAAGGCGTAAACTTGAGCGATGCGACTGCATTTCACTGATCAGCACTGTATAACAAGGCATGCTATAAGAAATGGTGCATGCTGCCTGATGTCGTCAGCATCAACATGTTGTGTTTGTTTCGTGTAGCGCATACTTATGGAATGGACGGTGTATTGCACAATGCGTCCCAGGAAGAGGTGTACAAGACGGTGTGCGAGCCAATCATGAAAAACGTTCTTGATGGGTACAATGGTAAGAGATCTGCCTGGCCCGATCTATTGTGCTGGTTCACGTTTTTGGCGTGTGACCGTGTCTGTGTGGGCGATGGGATGTACTGTTTTTGCCAGCTCCATGTATTGATGGATTGTAGAGGCGTAGTTGCATTTCAAGGGATGAGGAGAATCTCGAAATGATCTAGTCATGCACAGAGCATGAAATTCGTTTGGAATAAGCCCGTTGTGCTTTGCCAAAATTTGATGTGGATTGCATCATGCATGAATAATGCATGTGAGTACACTTGGATCAACAGTGTACTGATAAACACCCCCAGACAGTGCACTGATAAACACCCCCAGACAGTGTACTGATAAACACCCCCAGACAGTGCACTGATAAACACCCCCAGACAGTGCACTGATAAACACCCCCAGAGGGTGCGCTGATAAACACCCCCAGACAGTGCACTGATAAACACCCCCAGACAGTGCACTGATAAACACCCCCAGACAGCTGCCTGCCTCTATCATCCCCCCCCCCCCATTTCACCCAAAGAACATCCGAAAGTTCAAGACAGCAGCTTATCACCATCTCCTCAGAACTAACTGGCACTGGGTCACTCATAGCATATGCGAGTAAGAGAGTACAGTGTCCTACCCTGCTTGGACATAATCTCTCCTCGCAGACAGTCTCCTCTTCTATTTTAAAGTCTAACAGCGTTCACATCAATACTCAACTTATTCTTTTGCTCACTGAGCATTACAATCTTTCCATTTTCTTTCTTCTGTTTTCTTTTTCAATTTAATCCTTCCTACCGAATGTGCCTTTGGTGCGTCCATGGAGCTATGAAGCCGATACCTCTGGTCGGCTGAGCTTAATGGGCCCCACCACCACGCTCCATTATTCACCCCAGTGTCAGGAGATATGTGGATTTTGCAGAAGAAAAAAACAACAAAAAATGTCCACGTGGCTATTTGGGGTGTTGACGCTACAAATTACGTTATTGCGCACTGGACTTCCATTACTGTCGGGCGCTGAAGAACAGAGCGCCGAATAATGACCAGGCTAGAATTTTACCAAGCACAGCATACCAATGTATACACGGTGACTCAAATGTGCATACATGAAGTAAGAACGGTCTAGGCTAGGAAGCCGACCCCCAGTTCTTCGGCGACCGACAGTGCATAATTCTTTCTCCTGTCTGTGTTCTGTGCGCTGTAATAGGTGCCGTGATCTGCAATGGCCAGGTGGGTAGTGGCAAGACGCACACCATAACCGGCTCGGTGGAGAACTTTGACGAACGCGGCCTCGTACCCAGAGCACTATCACACGTATGTTACATTTCTACTACAGTTCAGTGCTGATGTCTGGATAGTACAGGGTAGATGTCTGGATAGTACAGGGTAGATGTCTGGATAGTACAGGGTTGATGTCTGGATAGAACAGGGTTGATGTCTGGATAGAACAGGGTTGATGCCTGGATAGTACAGGGTTGATGTGTGGATAGTACAGGGTTGATGTCTGGATAGTACAGGGTTGATGTCTGGATAGTACAGGGTAGATGTCTGGATAGTACAGGGTAGATGTCTGGATAGTACAGTGTTGATGCCTGGATAGTACAAGGTTGATGTCTGGACGGATAGTACAGGGTAGATGTCTGGATAGTACAGGGTTGATGTCTGGATAGTACAGGGTTGATGTCTGGATAGTACAGGGTAGATGTCTGGATAGTACAGGGTAGATGTCTGGATAGTACAGGGATGATGGCTGGATAGTACAGGGTTGATGTCTGGATGGTACAGTGTTATTTTTTTTACAGGCAAAATACACACACACACACACTACAGGTAGATATTCAACATGATATTTGGATCTGCCTCTTCATTTAGTTTGCCATGGTGTGGCTGCTCATTTTGTAAAAAAACTGGGCGAATTTCTAGTTCCCTATGCTTTTACTTTTTCTGCATCCAATGTGGCACGTAGCATGGGTGACACGATGCAGAACATGTACGTTTGTTGTCACCACATCTGTCACTGTATGTGAAACACACTAAAGTTTAGCGCGAAACTATGGGATGTGTGGACTGTAGTTTGCGAGTGCTGGACGGATATTCATACAGGGCCTTGTATTCAGGACCAATCACATTCGTGTAGTGTGAAGCTCAATTCTAACAGCGACTGTTCATAGCACCTTGGCACCTCTCGTCGCTTTCTTTCACTTTTCAAGTGCTATGGGACTAAGAACAGTGCGGAAACACAATCCCCGATTAGCACCGTGCAATAGCACATTGACCACTGTTGTGCCGTGAAATGTGTTATCCTATTGCTCTTAGATACTGGCTCGTCAGTGTGTGAAAGAAAACCGATATACGCATGGAATAGCACCTCTGCTTAGCATCTCCTTCACCCATAAATGTGATTATATTTGCTTGGCCCTTTTTCTGTCATGACTGAGCAGACTAGATTGGTGCACGGAAGTTGCAGCATTTGCTTCTGAACCGAGCCCAGCTGTTTTAGACCCTCATGTAACTTGAGCAAATGCCTCGACAGGAAGTTCTGTTTTCGACTACTGATGATCATCTGTATTGTTGTCGGATTCCAAATCGCGGCGGGTATTTGATATGCTGTGGAATCGCTCGGCCATTCATTAATTTAGAAACAGCCGGTGTCCGGTTGTCTTCCTCATACAAGCTGTGTCCGAAAGGTGGTAATAACTGCCTGTAACAGCATCACCGAAGGAAGGGCCCTTGCTATGGTGGTGGCCGAAATGACTTTGTTTGGTGTCTTCGCATCACTGTAGATCACCTATCCACGGCTGCTGTTTTTGTGTTCCATACAGGCATTTGGTGAGCAGCACGATGTACCGGAGAATGAGTTCCGCTTCCAGTAAGTTCAACGTTTTGCCTTGATGTATAAGGACCGGTGGAAGCGGTTTTGGATAGGACCGGCCATACCCCAGCCTTTCATCCTTTGTGAGGATGCACCGGGTAGGCATGGCCTGCTCAGCAGTAGACACATGTTGGTGGCCAAAAGGTTGGTCCGCCCATGGCCATACAAACCTGATGATGTAGATTGGGAATTTTGATGACATGCTACCCTATGGGCTTGGACAATCCATTAGGGGTTATCAATATGCACTGCTGGTCGTGGGATATATTGTAGATTCTCTACTGCAGACAATCCTTGTAGCAACAATACTGAAGTCAGTTCCACGGGTGGATCCAGGGGGGTTCATGTGGTTCCGCGGGACCTCTCAATTTCGCGAATGTTCTACTGCAAACCATATCCATACACGTGTACATGTATCAGCTATTCAGTTTTGGCTTACTGTATAAGGGTCTAAGACCATGATTGAGAAACAGAGGGTACCAGGTTCAAGTCCTGCTTGGAAGCGGAAGGATTTTTTTCCAGCCGTGCTGCGACCCACAGTTAATTGGGAACTCGTGGCCTGGCACGAGGAAAACATGGCTGCCAGTGAATGGGATTTTCGGTCTTTGACCACATGCTGGTGAGCTGATTTACTCGCCTCCCACCGCTTTAGGAGCTGCATCTGCGCCTTGATCCTTGAAGGGTGGTGGCGTTCCTACGGATGCGGAAAACTCGGCCTCTATATAGAGCAACCGAGTCTGACGCGAACCGTGAAATGTTTTTTACTGTAGAAGTACAAATTTTTGTTCACGAAATCTTTCGTTAGATCACTCCACCAGCAGGTCCGTTACGTACCAAATTTCGTTTTCGGTCGAGGTCTGTCACCCGGAACGTTTAGAAAAAAACTTAAGTTTGGTACAAACTTGATTTATTTCGTGCCCCAAACGAATACAGTCGTCCCTCTCTAATCCGGCACCTTTTGCAACGGCATTTTCTGCTGGATAAACAAGGGTGCTGGATTATCAAATCCTGTCCTCCAACCCGGCCCACCTACTAACATACATCTTTGTGTCGTACGTCAAAACGCAGGGATTTCCTGTGTCAATCCAAGTACTTTGTGGAATGCATGTCTATACAGTGCATAGGATATTCCCAAGTGTCTGTTTCATGTGTAGAATGCTCCCTGATAAGTTCATGCACTGACCAAACTGACATAGCTGTGTTCCAGTTTGGTACGCGATGTACAACTGCTGGATTAGAAAACCGAATTATGTACAGTTTGAGCGATTTGTTGCAGAAAATCGCTGCTGGAGACGGAATTCAAGTGCCGGATTAAAGCGTACGAAATGAACTGAAAAAATCCGTTTTGCCAGAAAGTGTGCTGGTTTGCAAGGGTGCTGGATAAACAAGTGCCGGATTAGAGAGGGACGATTGTATAGCGAAAGTTAATTCCAAACGAAACTTTGTACTTACGCAGTAACTGGAACCCCCGTGTGGAACCCCCGTGTGGAACCCCCGTGTGGAACCCCCGTGTGGAACCCCCGTCTGGATCCACCCCTTAGTTGACTGTCCTACGCTGTGTATTGTGTTATGTCATGTACAGTATATCGTACATGGAGTTGTATAACGATGACGTTCACGACCTGCTGTCGGGACTACCCAGCACAACCTACGCCGATATTGCACAGCCGCCACTGAGAAAGCTGCCCGTAACGGAGGTATGTACTCGTGTGTAATCTTTTCATTTGAATTCGTAAGTAAAAACGGGTTACAAGCCCAATTACCTGACAGCGAATGCGAGGAGGGAATATTTGAATGGTAAAACGAGGAAAAAGAAAGGAATGGAGAAGAGACAGAAGTGTCCTGTGAGTAACAACATGTACGATGATTGCGAAGACAGAATGGCCTCTCTCTCTCTCTCTCTCTCTCTCTCTCTCTCTCTCGTTACCTCGCAGCACCATTATTGTTTGTACGTGATTATTGCTGTCTATTGATTCTTCAACCCGTGCTGCTACCCACAGTCAACTGGGAACTAGTGACCAGGCACAAGGGGTACATGAATGTGGCTAATGGGGTTTCTCGGCACTTGTGCCAGTGGTTGTGAGACTTATCCACTCACCCCACCATTAGGCGCTGCATCTGCCGCTAGGGTTATCGGGTATTAACGGCCGTCGTGAGTACCCTTCGGGAACGGACACAATAATTTACTTTTTACTTTTTATTGTTTCTTCAACCCAACCAAGTGTTTACTAATCTGTTGATCCGACAGTTGCGGTAAGTGCTCAATGTCATAGGGGGTCCTTAGAACATAGGCAGACTCAGAAGAGGATGTTCAGGTTTGCTGTAACTCTGAGCTTCATGCCACAAGGCAAACATGAGAGGACTGTGCTGTGATTGCTTAGTAGAGAGAAGCTCGGAGTTACAATGAACCTGAACGTCCTCTCCTGAGGCTGGTCTGTCTAGCTGTTCGGCAGTCTGTCTATCCACTGATCTAATGTTATTTGTCTGTCCATTCATCTGTCCACCCACTCAACCATTCACATATCCGTTGCCACCTGTCCGTCTTTGCATCTGTCCACCTGTACAAGTTACTGTTTTTGTGTCTTTCTTGTCCACTCCCCACAGTCCAAGGAAGGCGTTGTAGCAGTGGGTGGTCTCAGAATTAAGGAGGTTTTCTCACTGGACGATGCTCTCAATTGCCTCTTTGAGGTTCGTTTACTAGCTGAAAGAACCAAGGGTTTGCGTGGAAGCAACCTTTGATAATCAGACAGTTGAAATGCGCCTTTACGTCAATATAATGATTTTCTCGTTTCTTTGCCTTCAATTGCATGAGTGATACTTCACCTCTGTCTCATCTAGACTGACCTTCATTGTCTATGTTTTATGAGTTCTATGAGTTCTGCATAATATGTGTGTGTGTGTGTGTCCAAGATTCCTTTGTGTCCCTCTCCCCTGTGCTGGAGAGACTTCTGTGACCAGTTTTTGCAGTGAGCAAGTACAAGTACAAGTGCGAGTCTATGCGTGCCGTGTGTTTGTGTTCTCTGTGATATGTGCACGTACCGCACAGGGCGATGTCTACCGTGCCAAATCCCAGCACGTTCTCAATCCGGTCTCGTCACGTTCACACACCCTCCTGACTTTCTACATACAAGTAAGTACACGGCGTACCCGTCAACTGGCTTCAGGTGTGTTCTTTTGGGATCCTACTGCTTCAGGTGGAGTCCGAGAGCGTTTTTCTATGTACATGTATCGGTAAGAATTACATGTATATCAGTGCAAGAAGTAGGCTGAAGGAGAAGTAGGAATGATGGCAACTAGACTTCAGAGCATTGAATGAAGACATTGCAGCAAAGTTAGTTACTTTGATGGACAGACTTCCTCTGCGTTTGGCGTTTTTGTAGTGGTTTACTATATAGTACGCGACTCATTCCCAGCAATGTCAATAACTTTTAATGTGCAAGGTAGCGTGGCCGAGTGGTCTAAGGCGCTGGATTAAGGCTCCAGTCTCTCCGGAGGCGTGGGTTCGAATCCCACCGCTGCCAGACATTTCTTTTTTTCCTTTTTCTTTTATCGTAGTTGAAGATTGATCTCGTCATCAAAAGCAGTGTATTGAGCCTACTGACATCAGCCGGTTTCCATAGTGTAGCGGTTATCACGTTCGCCTAACACGCGAAAGGTCCCCGGTTCGATCCCGGGTGGAAACAGTCATTTCTTTTTTTTTGTCTCTTTTTGTGGCAAACTTCTCTGACTTTGTACAAAGGTCATTCATTCCTTTGTGTAGTTTCAGGAATTTGATTGGCCGGGTGGGGTCAGTTCTCATTTTAGTATCCGAGTTAAATTTAACACCTATAATTTAAGAATGGACTCGGATGGAGAGCCAAGGATAAGAAAAAAGGACCAAGGACCGTCGGTCAGTGTCGTGCAATGTTATCGCATGAGCTGATTGTTTAGTAATTGGTGGTGTTAGTGGACATTATAGCGTAGCTTGTAGTTCTTTGGTCCTTTTCTTTCCTATAAACCTTGTATTTGTTATTTATTTGTCTGTGTGTATGTGTCTGTGTGTATGTGTGTGTATGTGTGTGTATGTGTCTGTGTGTATGTGTGTGCATTGTGTTCTTACCCGTAGCGGAACTCACTGGTCGACACTGACAGTAAGGAGACCATGTTTAGCCGCATTGACTTTGTGGATCTTGCAGGCATGGAGCGACCTAGCAAAACGCAAGTAAGACTCAATACATGTAGTTGTTGTTTGTTCTGTCAACCCTCAACTTTTTTTATCTTTCTTGCTATTATTTTTTGTCTCGAGCCGGGTTTCTGTTCTTTGTAAAAAAATAAAAAAATACGGGAATGCACACTCACGACCACTACCCCCAAAGATCTCATTGCTGTGTTGCAGGCAGACCGGGTCATACCATGCCCGGCAACCAGGTAATGCAGTAAAGAGTTTGTTTCTCAGATCAAAAGGGACGCGGAGTAACAAACGTAGCATGTCTTCCAGACGGTGCCTGTTCTGAGCAACACCATCAGTCGATAAAGCCATACAGTCAGTGTTGCCATGGGGACTGTGGTTTACCGTACTTCCCCGAATATACCGTATTTTTCGGAGTATAGTGCGCACTTTAGATGTGCTATTTTAGGCCCTAAATCGAAGGTGCGCACTATGCTCCGAATATGAAATGCATGTACTTCAATGAAGATTGAAGTGCGCACCCCCAACGAAGATTGGGGGTGCGCGTTATACAAAGGTGCGCACTATACTCCGAAAAATACGGTAAGTCGCACCTTTTTACACTAAAATTCAAGGGTAAAAAGGGGGATGCGCCTTACAATCGAGCATGATTTGCTATGTACTGACGCGAATGTATCCAAAACTGGCTCAAACCTGATAACGGGGGTGCGACTTGCAATCAAGTGCACCTTATAATCGGGGAAATACGGTGCTATTGTGAGCAGCTACCAGGTATGCCGTATGTAGACGGACAGGAAATTGTACACTTTGTGTGTGTGTGGTATGGCTTGCGTGTGTACATACATGCATGACCTCCTCAGTAGTTTACACACGTTTCTGGCCCAGGGGTGGTCCTCAGCAATGGCCTGATCAACCGGACAGGTTCTGGCGGGCCTGACTGCATTCATTTGAAGAAAGGATAATTTTTTTTTCCAAATACATCTCTTCTAGCTGTCCAGCTTCCGTCCCGGAACAAGTTGGGTGTTGTGCCAACTTGCAGCGCAGCATGGTATGTTGCATGCAGTCTGGTTGCCATGGTGATCAGTAATCCAGCAGTACTACACATGTCAGTTTAAGAAAAGGCAACACATGAACCAGGCTGCCAAAGTCCTTGTTCAACCATGCTGTACAGTCAAGCATTTCTTGAATTGTTAGATTTTGGTTCCTATTCTTTTGCTGTTGTTTGTAACCCCTAGCCCACTGGCAAGACACAGCAAGAGGCACTGCACATTAACCGCTCATTGTCGTTCTTAGAACAGGTGAGCTACGGATGGGAAGAGGGAACGAAAGATAATGGAACGCTCCTACTAGTGTGTGTACAGTACTGTCAGGCACCGGAGAACAACCAGGCTAGGATTTCACCAAGCACAGCACACCAATGTATACACGGTTACTCAACCGTGCACAGACTGTGATGCATGAAATTAAGAACAGCCTAGACTAGAAGGCTGACCCCCCCCCCCCCCCCCCCCCCAGTTCTTTGCCACCCGACAGTCCTGTGTGTGTTGGTATGTTTTGTATGTGTCCATGTATGCGCTTCTATGCCCAACGGAAAAGTGTTTGAGATGAGCATGGGCTGAAGGAAAAAGAGCTCTTCCTCCAACACAAAGACTTTAGAAAAAAGTCTTCATGTACTGCCGGGTTTGAGCTATCATCGATGTTCCTTCATGTTTTTTTTCTAAGATGATTCCTATTACCATTCTATTTCCATATGCTGCTTCAGTGGCAGGAGGTAGCATTCTAAAATACGTCTCGTCATGAAAATCTAAATCTCAGTTGCTTCTGTGTTGCCATAGACGCTGAGAGCATTGTCCACATCATCACCAGTGGATAAGCCGTCGCTGGCAGCATTTCGCCAGGACAAGCTCTCGCACGTTCTCAAGCACTGTATCGGAGGGAATTGTCAGACCGCGTTCCTCACCAACATACGCACCGAAGTGGAGCACGTGGAGGAAACTGTAAGCGCAGGACGGCCCGGGTTTGGGGCAGGTCCGTTGGTTGGCTATCACCCTTCACTTCACATTCATTCGTCAATGGCAGTCGTTTGACGAGCCAGGAAATGTTGAATAAATACAAAATACAAAGGTCCATTTCCGGGGCGGTTTGAATTGGAGTGCATGGAGAAAACTGCATGGGTAGGGCGACCTGGGTTCATTGTCACATGATTTTTAAGCACGAAACTCGGTGTCATGAGAAAGATATTTGTCACATTGAAACCATCCACTGAAGGCTTTGCCGTGTACTGTCGTATCGCCGTGTGTTTGTCTCGCCAGCTCTCCAGTCTTCAGTTTTCTGAGAAAGCTGTGTCTATACCGATTGCCATGCAGACCACAGCACGGGAACCAGCCAACGTGAGTAGCACAAGTGCACACACCACGTCACTAGGTCAGCACTAGTAGTGAGCTGGGTCTAGACGACACCTTTGCTTTGGCTGTGTGCAAGTATGTGTAAGGAAATGAGTAAGCCCGTTCCCCCTTCCGACCTTCCCCTCCCCCTCTTCCCCCTTCCCCTTTCTCCTTTCCCCTTCCCCTCTCCCATCCCCCATCCCCTTCTCTCTCCTTCACCCCTCCCTCTTCCCTCCCCCCCCCTGCCCTATTAGCTATTTCACCTGATGTTGTGTATGTCATCATGCTTTTTGTTCCTATGTCGGTTCTGCAGTTAGTTGTGCGGAAGCAGCAGCTGGAGATCGAGCTGCTTCGTGAAGAGCTTGCAGCGCAGTCCATTGTGGTATGTGCATTTTATCAGCCCTGTTCGTGCATTACTGCAGTCCAGGCCAAAGAAATCTGACCCACGTGTCACACGCAACGCCATGCTTTCCCATTTCAATCGCACATCATGCTCTGTCTGAAAATCGATCCGAGGCCGCAGGGGCGCATAAGCCTTGGTGCTGCTTTCGACTCACGGGTCAAATTTCTTTGGCAACATCTGTGAATACGGTGAAACGCCATTGCAAGTCCCATAGATATGACATGGTGAGCAACACTAGTCACTGGAATCTGACCCCTCACTCGAGACATGCACCGCGAGTGGCACGGTTGCTCCATACATTTTTTTCTTGCACAGCTGCAGGGTATGATGGGGCTGCTGGAATTTGGGTGCAGGCCATACACCCGTAGCGTGTTCTCACTGCACAGCACTTCATGTTTACATTAGCTCTGCATGATGAGTACCCGGATCATAGTCCCCCTTGTGTCCTTTCATTCGCACTCCATTGATGTGCTATTCTGCTTTGTGATTTTCTTCTTTGTTCCTGTCACTTTCTTTCCTTTCCCCCTTTGCTTCTTTCCTTCGATATTTGCCTTTAGGTGATTGGGCCCAGTGCCCGTTTGATGTGCCAAATAAACAAACAAACAAACCATGTACCCTGTGTCGAGCAGATATAACACCTGTGTTGTTTACTGTGCACTGCTGCTGCTGCTGTTACTGCTACAGTTTGGAGGCGTTGACATCCACCATGAGCCGTTCTCACAGCCGGAGGTGGAGCGCATTCGCGAGAAGGTTACCGACTTTCTGGAGTCCGGTGACATTAGTGGCTTGAAGGTACGATATCCATTCATGGCAATGTGACATTACTCTGCTTAGAATTATCTGAAACATGTGCTTGACTTTCAGTCCTTTTTCAGTTCAACCTGGCAGTGGGTGTTGCTTGGTGCCCATAGTCTGTGGTTTATCCAGTTTGCTAGCTAGCGATATTCCCTTGCAGATGGAGTAATATTTGAGAGATCCTGCCGCTCTGCCGCACCTGCATCTGTGTGTTGACCAGTGGCGGTCGTCCTGAGTTTGTGAGGGTCAGTGAGTACAACTTTGCTGTTTTTTAGTCACTTTCCGTTCCCGCTTTGTGATCTTACCACTGGCTTAGTAATAAGTTAGTATGCCTCTATTTGTGTGGTCCCATACTGTTTTGTCACCTATCGCAGATTGAGAGTGTCCGCCAAACCAGGGAGATATTCCAGCAGTTTCGCCAACTGTACAGGTAGGCAGGCACACACACAAACTTGGGTGCTGTGTGAGCCTTGTAGCTGGACCTCACTGGGTGTTGTGATCGTGTGTGGATGATCAAGCTGATGTTGACAGTGATCTGACGTTGGAGATGTCGTGGGGTCTGTGTGGCCTAGCTGGTTGGTCACTCCACCCGGACAAGAGCATGTGTGAATTATGTAGGACAAGGTGCTAGTACAAACAGCAAAGAATATTCACCAAGAACATTCCATATTTATGCATACGGAAGGACAGTATTATTACGTTGAAATTGATCAAGTAAAATGTAGTGTTTGATGTGGCCAAGCTTGGCCGTTCGTGTTCTACTTGAAATGTGAGTTATGGGTGGATGATTCTGCTGTTTTCCTCACCCTGTCAGGGAGCAAGCTGAGACGTTTTCCAGTCAGCTATCAGCCGCTGAGAATGCCTTTGCTGCATCTTACACCGCTGCCACTCTGGCTGGGCCCGACGGCGCAGGCGTTGGCGGTCTTAGCGGAACTGAGGGCGGAGGTGGAGGCGGCGTTGCCACGGCAATGATCGACAAGACGCCACACCGTCAGGCCAAGACGAAGGAAGGCGGCAAGCAGGTCACGGTCGCCTTGGATACCAAGCCTGTTCGGGGAGCCGGCGTGGCGGCTGCTGGTGCCGCCGGTGCCGCAGCCGGCGCTGCGCCTATGGGCAAGAAAAGTTTCAAGACAGCCGTGACTAGCTTGAAGGTGTGTATAGTGAGCGTTGGAGGTTTGTGTGTGAGTGTGTGCGTGTGTGTGTGTGTGTGTGTGTGTGTGTGTGTGTGTGTGTGTGTGTGCGTGTGTGTGTGTGTGTGTGTGTGTGCTGAGTGGTTACCAACAGCCAGTGCATGCCAAAGTATGTGGTGTGATGTGTGTGCGGGAAAAAAATTAAAAAAGACCAAAAGTAGGGATTCACAGGCCAGAAAAAGCCACTTCATAGCTGTGTGGTGTAGACCAGGCTGAATAGTGGCAGTCAATTCTTAAGCCTTGCAAGCTGTTGAATGGTGCAATCCCAGCACAAGCTGCTATGGCTTCTGCAGTACCATCGCTATCATTGCCTCTGGCCATGGGTGTCAAAATGGTCAGTGGTGTGTGTGTGTGTGTGTGTGTGTGTGTGTGTGTCTGCTAGTGTGTTCGCCTGTCTTTCTTCCTCCGCTTGACCGTCCATCTGTCAACCTGTCCGTCTGGTTTTATCTGTCCACCTGTGTACGTCCGCTGGTCTATTTGTCCGATTGTCTGTTCAGGGCAAGAAGGCATCGGATGTAGTGGCAAAGGAAGAGCCGCAGGAAACTGGAGTAGGAGACCTCAATCCTACCAGGGATGGCATTGCAATCAGGGCTGTGAGTACTCGTGTTGCCATAGATACCCAGAGAACCCTCCCCCGACAACCACCTGGGTTTATTGACTATCTGGACTGAATTTCAGAAATTGGAATGGTCTTTGCTGCTGAGTGTAGCTGGAAAGGACAACTAGCCGTGACGAACACCACAGAAACATTGACACTCGTGGCAAGACGCATTTACATTGATAATGGGCAACACACGAGTACACGTACGTTCAAAGGGCTGTCGCAAGCTGTTACTTATGCAGCTGCAATAATTTACAAAACTAGATAGTCATGTTCTTGGAGTGGTATGAGTATATGGGTATGTGTGCTTGCATAATGTACTCTTGTAATCCTGTATGGGCATGAGGGCTAGCAGTGCACTCTATGTGCTACTGCATGAGGAGGCTATGGTGACAAGGGACAGCACATGGGAACTACAAGGACTATGTGCAGGTTACTGAAACAAGAAATCTCCTGCGCATATACGGCCAGAATGTACAAAAAGTAATCTTGTCCTTCGCCAACTGACTGGGCGTGCGGTGTGTGTTGTGTGTTGTGTGCGACTGCAGAAAAAGTCTTTGCCTGCTGCAGGACAGGATTTCGCGTTCGCCACCAAGTTGCAGGCCGATGGCAAACCTGGCAAGAAGGTTGTCGGGTAAGGACAGTTATCTTGTGCAGAATGAAATGTGAATCGTCGGACATATGTGTGTTAGCTGATGCACATCTCCTAAGCACGTTTGAAACCAAAGAATCTTACTTTCAGGACATGCATATCGTTTTACAAAGACCACAGAAGATAGCAAACATCAAGTACTACATAAGAAGCATACATAAAAACCATACATATGTTGAGTTCGAAACAGGACGACTGACAACGGGAACAAGTTTGTGGGAACGACATTTATTATAGACGACGAGACAAGAGACCAAGACGAACGAAACGACTACATGGTGATTATTGACGAGTGAGAAAAGAGAGAGAGAGAGAGATCAAGTCTGAATGGCAAGATAAAGGGCCTGGGTAGCTATGGCAAATATGGGCGCGCAAGTAGCTACCCAGGCCAACGGAACAAAAGGAGACAAAAGGTGAGTACGTAAGTGCATGCAGGCCAGCTAGAAAAGGTACGGGAGGAGGTACCTAACATACAACCCCTCCATGAAAAAAAATCCCGCGTCCTCGCGGAGAGAAAAAAAAGAGAGAAAAAGATTTAAAAAAAATGACTGATGGAGAAAACACACACACACACACACACACACACAACGCACGGGCCTCACAAAAGTGTGGACTAAAAAATGCACTACAGATCATTACAACCGTCAATGTTCCTGTACTACTCATACTATAGTGTGTACATTGCCAATAACAACGGGCCCAAACGCCCCTTCAAAACATGGCCCAAAAAATAACTAAAGGAGTTCAACGAGGGACTTGAATTGTATTCTGATGACTAGTATTTTGCACGGCTAATAGAGCCTAGTTACACTTTAATATACGACATAAATAAGAGAGCGTGGCTCACCATGATCGGACCCCTAATATTAATGAAGGACACCCGCGCGCACACACACTACAAAAAAATTCACGAAAATAAATTTGACGAAGAAGGAACGCATACAAAAAAAAGAAAGAGAGAAAGGTAGCTGACCTGCATGGCTTGAACGACACGAGGTTGATATAGACGAGACGAGGTTGGCGTAGGAGAGACGAGGTTGATAGAGACGAGACGAGGTTGGCGTAGGAGAGACGAGACTGACATGGACGAGACGAGGTTGACATAGACGAGACGAATGGTGGTTGAGGACGGCTGGGCATGGGATGATCTCAGGGTCGTGGGTCGATCAATAATCGGGCGCCAATGTTGAGTTCGAAACAGGACGACTGACAACGGGAACAAGTTTGTGGGAACGACATTTATTATAGACGACGAGACAAGAGACCAAGACGAACGAAACGACTACATGGTGATTATTGACGAGTGAGAAAAGAGAGAGAGAGAGAGATCAAGTCTGAATGGCAAGATAAAGGGCCTGGGTAGCTATGGCAAATATGGGCGCGCAAGTAGCTACCCAGGCCAACGGAACAAAAGGAGACAAAAGGTGAGTACGTAAGTGCATGCAGGCCAGCTAGAAAAGGTACGGGAGGAGGTACCTAACACATACATGAACCATGGTTGACGTGGTGGTGAGGTCTGGTGAGCTTCGCCGACCCAGAGTCTCGGCCGCACAGCAAACCAGATGCACCATGGAGAGAGAGAGAGAGTGTGTGTGTTTATGCCTGTCCATGCATGTATGTGTGTATATCAAATGCTTGTGTTTGCCCCCACCTTGCAGTGATGGCCAGCGACCTGCGGGCTCAGCGGAGACGGGCAACCTTGCTCAGATACCCGTTGCTATGGATAGTAAGTCTCCATGGTCACGGTGTTGTTATGTTTTATTTTACTTCACCAGATGCAGAGGCATTTCTGCCATCTCGTCTCACCATAATTATGGTTACACTCTCGATAAAAGATGTTGCTTGTTCAGGCTTGTACATAGGCTGGAGCCAAATTCATAGAAGACCCCTACATTTGGTTGGTCGGGTTGTATGTTTCTCCACTGCTCAGTCGGAGCATGAATATGAGGGAATATATTCGCAGAGGATTGTCCTGGTACAGAATAGTTTAACATTGATCACATAGCCATACGGGACAGCCATGTTGGTTCCACCACTACTCTGTAGTCAACTCCTGCATCCATGGGTCATTATGATGTCAGCTATGCTGGTCCCACCGTCCACATTCCACGACCCCATTTCTACACGAATCCCGTCACACGGCAATGATGTGAACACCAGTCTATGCAGCGCAAGGCTGTGCAAACATCCCTGTGTTTGTGTTTGTTGTCTCCTCTGTTGTCTGTGCGTTTCTTGCATAGCACCGGGCGCCACTATTGCACCAACACATTCCATGGATAATGTGGGTAGTGGCGTAGCTATGTCCAGTGCACTGCTACAGGACGGGTCACAGAGCAGCTTGGCGCAGACGAACACCAGTGGTTCTCTTGACGCCGCAGGAAAGAAAATGGCGTCCGTGCTTGGCCGCTTCATGCAGGAGTAAGCGTGATCGTCTGCTGGGTCAGCGCTCTGCTGGGCCGTGTTGTGTCTGTCTGTCTGTCTGTGCGTGTTGCATGAAGACGTTCATGTGTCAGAGTGTGTGTGGGGGGGGGGGGGCTTGAGGAAGTGTGAGTTGGCGGGGGGGGGGGGGGGGGGGGGGAGGGGGTGCTTGAGGAAGTGTGAGTTGGGGGGGGGGGGTTGAATTGATCTGATATTGCTCTGCACATCTGAGGGTACAAATTGGGATTTTGTGTTTTCTTGCATTTGAGTTGAATTAGTTCTGCGCCTTCATTTTCGTCATTGTGTGTGTGTATGTATGTGTGTGCGTGAATACATGGGTGTGCATCTGTGTGCATCTGTGTGTTTGCGTACGTGTGTTTGTACATGTGTATGTGTGTGTGTGTGTGTGTGTGTGTGTGTGTGTGTGTGTGTGTGTGTGTGTGTGTGTGTGTGTGTGTGTGTGTGTGTGTGTGTGTGCATGTGTTCACAGTTCCGACACTAAGCCGACTAAAGAGGACTATTTTGAGTGGTACAAACAACACAATGCCGAGGGAAAGGAACTAAACGGAGCGTTCATACTAGCCAAGAGTAAGCTAGACTAAGAATTTGTCTGGAAATTGTAACATGGAAAAATGTGGGCACAAGTTATGCAATGGAGTCCACCAACTAAACCAGATTTTGAACAATCAGACGTGAACAAAACGTTCGTGCCGTGCAATGTCTCAGTACTCCTTGTCAGTTTTGTGCCAGATTGTGCACATCTGACTGTTGTTCAAAATCTGGTTTAGTTGGTGGACTCGATCGCATAACGTGTGCCCAAATTTTTCCATGTTACAATTTTATCCTTGGCTCACCATCTGAGTTCTATTTTTTCTGGAGGTAGTGATTTTATGAAAAGAACATTTTGTTATGTCTCCATACATGTAACGTTATGCCCCATTCGTCACCCTGATGAATGCACACACCAAGCCAACCATTGTGTTGATCTTTTGCAGACTACCGCTTTTTCCGTAGTATAAGCTAATTTGCCCCAAAAAAATGGTGCAGCAGTCCAAACCCTCCAATTACCAAAATACAAAAATGTCTTGCCAAAATTAATTCCGTTTGTAGACAACTCCGAAGGGGTAACTACGATGCTGGGTTTTAAAGAAATACTTGGACATGGTCATGAGCTAGTGGGGGTGAGGACAGTGGTGGGTGCTGCGTATGTGACAGGTCCCTGCATGCATACCGAGGCATACACTTGCTGCATGGTTTGTTGTGTACGGTAGTTGCAGGTAGGCTGTGCAATTGTTTCGTACGGCAATAGCGTGGAGGCCATGCCATAACAGCCACTGGCGGCTTGTAAATTTGAATTTGCTTTAAAAGCTTTCCTTCTACATCCGCTAGCCGCTATGACAACTCTACTACTTGTCTTGCCTTTTGCCAACGAGGATTGTGGTAGAGGAGCTCGTGTCTTTGTCTGTTGTCCTTTCGGCTGCAGAGCAACAGCATGATCAAGCCATTCTGGTCAGGAACCATGCGCTGGACTTGTCTAAGTTCAAGGACGCCATTGGAGAAGTAAGAACAGGGCGGCAGTGAGCAAGCACTGCATTTTATTTGCGTCGGGTCAGGTGCTCCTCACTAGCTATGGATCACTAGTACTGTAAATATACAAGTTTTCGGCAGCTATTTAATTTCGGCTATATTCGGCACCGACCCAAAACGCCTAAATTAAAACGCCGATGAAATTTTTCACAGCATCTGTCGCACTATACCATGCCCTCTGATCTACCCCACGCCGAAAATAGATCGCCGCCAAAATGTCAAAAATTGTGAAGTGCCGAAATTTTGCAGCGCCGGAATTTTGTATATTTACAGTATAGCACGGATCAGAAAAGTCAAACCTACGCTTTCAAGCAGGACTTGAAGCTAGCGCCCTCTGTTTCTCAATCATGGTCTTAAGACCAGTATGCCTGCCTGGAGTGGAAACCTCTAAATACAGCATCTCGTTGCTTATGTATTTTGCCGTCTGATGGTCTACCGTTACAACCAACCCCTCAGCTTCATGATTCAAGCGGGCACCTCTTGCAGCACTGTCACCACCCGATTGCTTGGTACAGGAGATACACACACTCATGTTGGTGTCTATCTCATCTTGCGTAGGACTGATTGCGTAGTAATGTCTGCAAACTTGCACCTACTGGGACTGGCTGGGAAGCAGAACAATACACTTTTGTCTTTTCCGTGTGCCCGTATTGCCTAGATTCAGCAACTTCTCGCAGCGGGAACAGCAAAAGAGGCGCTTGAAAGTAAGCTATCGCCCAGTCGGTTATTTCCCCTGCTAAGATGCATGTCCAATGGCTAATCTCCACTCCTCTCTACGTGATTTGAAGGTGAAACTGTTCAGGGGATTGTGTGCCTTTTGTGCTGCGAAGCATACACTGGTGTGCCTAGAAATGGAGACCAGAGAACCCTTGAAGCGTTGTCAGTGCATAGTAGCTGTAACCATGTTGCTAGCAAGCGCTTCTGCTACCACTACAAATGCAGCATTCGTTGTGCTGATGCCATGGTCATGGTAATCCGGTTGCTCGTCTGGCGGCCAGGGCCAAGGACCAATGACTAAGCATATGGGTCGGCACACATATTCATTTATGCGCAGCATTGCAACGCGCTGGTCGCATCGGATCAGCGTAATTGTGCACTGCATGTAACGTTCTGTACGCTCTGAGGGCGCCGGCCTCGGTCATTGGACTGGATTTCCATGTCCAGGACAGTTACAGTATGTCATCATTGACTTGTGTTTGTGAATTATACTCTTTCTCTGTCACTGTTGTGGTACTGTGATGATATTGGAACTGTAGATCATTAAATATCCCTATACATATAACCATAGTTGTGGTGTTTGTAACCACAGACATTGTGAATCACCTGACGGCCAGACTATTGTTGGTAATGCTAGACCTTTTGGAAGTGTCGAATGACCGCACTTGGCATTCATCCATTCCTGCATGCTAGCTATCTCGTGTGTTTGGACTACCTCCATTATCTTCCTTTTGTCACGTGCTCTACTCTGTAATATTCAAACAGTTGCGTACTGGACAAGTGAACTACGGTTGTGCTTTGTTTTGGGTGTTGTGAGTCACGGACTAAAACACTACAATACCCATCACATTCTCATAATTATACCTGTCCATACATGACATTAGAATTGCTGTTGAGTATGATAAAAATTGGATGACAGCCCTTCAGCGTTAGTTGTCGGCTAGCCGAACGAGAGTCAGTTGTTGGTTTGTCCTCTTCTTCACAGGCACCAAGGGATTATCCGTTTGTCCGTGCGTCTGCCTGTGTGGCTGTCTGTGTTTATCGGTGTGTGTGTCTGTGCCTGTCTACGTTCTTGTCCGTTTGTGCGTCTGTTTGTTCCTGCATTGTGTAGCTGCAACAGGCATTCCACAACTACAGCACATCAAAGGTCTGTCCAAGATGATCAGCTCTCTTCCACATGCCCAATGCGTGGAACAGGTGAGATCAGGACCCTTTGCTTGCCCCCCCCCCCCCCCCCCCTCTGAGGGTCTCAGGCACATAGCTCGTGTAGAGTCAGCGCAGTGCGGTCACCACACCAGCCAATACCTGTCATGGGTACACCTGTACATAGACAAAATAGGCAAAAATGGCAGCTAAGAGGTTGTCGGTGGCACAAAGTCATCACACCACAGATGTGCGAGCTACGCACCTGATTCTACTACAGCTGTATTGGTATGCACGTAGGTGCTTTCGCCTACAGTCTTGCATGGTTTGTCTTACGTTGCTGCAACAAAGGTCACGCCTATGTTGTGTGGGACACCACTTACGGTATTAAGTCCGTGTGTGTGTGTGTGTGTGTGTGTGTGTGTGTGTGTGTGTGTGTGTGCGTGTGTGTGTGTGTTTGTGTGTGCGTGCATCTGCGTGTGTGTTTGTGTGTGTGTGTCTGTGTGTTTGCGTGTCTGTGTGCGGGTGCGTATGCACGTGTGGATATAATTATGTGTGTGTATATATGTGTGTGTATGCGTGCACAATTCTTTGTGTGCGCATCCGTGTTTTGTTACATTTACCACTACAACATACAGATCACAGCAGTGTACAAGACTGAACTCGGGAAGCTAGCCATGGAACGGGCCGATGTGAGTACAACGGATGTCCGCAAATTGCCGACAACCTGTCAAATGGCTTACTTTCTAAGACTGTTTGTGCACAATTGACTGTTGACTTGGTTGCTTATGCGGTATTTTAAGACTACAGTCAACTGTGACCACATTGCTACGACTCAGACATGTTTGAGAGCCGATTGTACCCTCGTCAGTTGAAACACGACTGCATCGTCATGGGAATATGCGTTCAGACATGACTTTGGCTGTAGTCTGAATATGAATAGTCTTTTTATCAAATTCATTTTTCCTACATTATTGTCCATCTGTGTGTCGTGATTGCGTTTCCCGCGCAATATGCACTGCAGCTGAACCAGCTCAAGGAGACGGTGCAGGACAAGCGCAGAACGCTGCTGAGCGCGTTCGAAGCAATAGACGCTGAATGCAACGAGGAGTCGCAGCTTCTCCTTGCTGCAGCGAAGGCGCAGGCTTCCGGGGCAATGGCCCCGGGCAGCCTGTGCAGCCTCAGCGGCGAAAACAGCTGCGCCACCATCCTGGAAGCCGACGAGGATAAAGATCGCGAGGACGAGGACGACGACGTGGAGGATCTGACCCAGACGGAGGGCTTTGGCGTCGCCGACAATGTAGCCTTGGATACCATGGTGGGACACTTGACCGGCTCCAAAGCTCCGACGGTGAGTACTGTATTTTGCAGAGTGAAAGCCGCACTTTAAAAACCAGTAAAAAAAAATTAAATTATCGTATCCGTTCCCGAAGGGAACTCACGACGGCCGCTAACACCCGATAAACCCTAGCGGCAGATGCAGCGCCTAACGGTGGGGGTAAAAACCAGTAACTCATCCTAAAAAAATAGTCAGTACTGCCGAGGAACACCGGAACCAGCCCCGTTGGTCAGGTCATCACCGCACAAACTTGTTGGCCATCAACGCATGTATACGGAGGAGAAAGTTATGTGCACCCGCTATTTCCTACACAAGGAGTATGAAAGACGATGGTATGGCCGGACCAATGGAAAACTTCTTCCACCACTGCTGCGGCTTATAGTACTACGATGTTGTAATTAACAGTGATAAAATAGGGAAGATGCCTGTATCTCTTGAAAAGTCTGGGTGCGGCTTATACGCCAGTGCGGCACATGCTCCGGAGCATGTGATACACATTGGTGCTGAGTGATGTTGTGGTGTTTCACTCTGCTTACATGTATTACTGCAGTTTGCAAACATGAGCACGGATCCCAGAGAGAACGCCCGCGCTGCATTCGACAATGCGCGGGTTCGTGCCAGAAAGCGGGTGAGTGATATTATGGCATCCATGTTGCAGTCAGACCTCGCTTATCCGGTCCTCTTTTATCCGGATCCCTCGTCATCCGGAAACAAATCGTTGGTTACTGATTTACAGCATACACTGCATGTGACCCAGAAATTGTAATGTATGGGATTTCACCGCAGAGTGAAACGTGTGCTACGAGACGGCTGAGCATAAAGGCCGCCTGTCCACGCTAGAGAGCTATCATCTCAGGTCTATGGCAATACCTCGGCCCACCCAATGTGTCTTATTCATGCAAAGGCAGAGCAAAGGCCATTATCTAAAAGTGATTACTGCCTCGAGAAACACCGGTGGTTCTCCATGCAAGGTGACTTGCACTAAGCACCGAGTTGTCTTCTTGTTGTGCGTGTGCAGGAGAATCAAATCCTACGCAAGACGGGCCACAAGCCCGGTGCAATCATCAAGGCTAAGCCAGCGCCGACCTCTACTCTGCGATCCATTTGATCAAGTGCTACGTGCATGCATAGGAGGAGCCGAGTGTGGAGGTGTACGTATTGAGTTGCATGGTGTGAGCTTTTCTCCTGTGGCTCTCCACATCAGCTTTACCAGTATGTACTGCACGGCGTGAATGTTTCTCCTGCCACCCAATCGGCTAAGCCACTATGTACTGCGTGGAATGTTCCTATGGGCTAGTGGCCGTCACAACATGGCTGTTGTCTGCCTTGAGATGATATGCTGACGCGGTTTGGTGTCTGCTCGGACAGCCACACGTCACTCATCTGCATTGTGCATGGGACAGTATGAGGTGCTGCTAGCGGATATCCTGTGGTTGGTTCATACGCGCTCGACTCCCTGCAACGATTCGCGTGTGCATGGTTTGAAGATTCGGGTTTGCTGCTTCTGTCAGCGCAACGATGGCGTGCTGGTTTACACGTGACTGTAGTAGCCGGTTGACTAAGATAATGAACTTGACTTGGCGGGGATTCCAGCTGCACTGGACAAACGTAATTGTAGGTATGCTTGAAGTATTTAGCCTGCACAGCAGCAACCGACCTGAAAGACACACAGTGCTTGTTTTGGAGACGCTGAGGAGCTAATACTGCTCATGGCACCGTGGAATAATACTGCATTCATGTCTTTCTAAGGCGGTTTTATGACCTGTCCGTCTTGCAATATCGAGAATAATGGAATCCCGTCTTTTCACATTAATAGTAGTCATAGTGCATGGTACAGGCCAGTTAGCTGTTTACTGCTACTTCTGGTCCCGAAAACATAATTCCCTGGGACCCACCATCACCATAGAGAGTACCTTTCCTGCCGTCTTGTTCCAATACAACACGTTTTTAAACTTTTGATATACCGGTATGCTTATCAGATAATGTTGAATATTGAATATCAAACACTAAGACTAGTCTTGTTGAAAATGGAGTGACTGAACTCTGGGTGTTGATGAAAAACATTGGATTTACTGCTCGCCATCAAGCTATGTTCGTGTAGAACAGGATTGCAGCAAAAGGTCCGTATCTTCTTCGAAAGTACAGTAACGGTTTGCTCTCCGTCTTCAAAGTGATGACTCGTGAGTCTGTGCAACGTCGCTCTAATCTCTATCTTCATAAGATTGCGGGGGTCGAGTCCTAGCTTTCTACTCGTCACCACAATTAAGTCGTAATGGATCGTTTCTGGATGTTCTTTTCAATGTGTATGTTGTAACGGTTAGAAACTGATAATGTCATCCATTCCCAACAGCACTGGTCTTCATTGCTTTAGAAACCTGTTTCCTGCTTTGGTTTTCTTACTTTAGTTTCTCGATTGTACTTGAGCGGTCTTCGCTGAACAGTTTTTAAATTCATTGTTTGTCTTTTGAATAGAATTAGAATAGAAATAATAATTTTGGACTTGGTCACTTTTGGAAAGGTAGATATTGCTATGGATAATTGAAGGATTCTGTGTCGTCCACGATGGCGAGGGCCAGTCGCACCCCGTCTATCATGCTATTGTTTTGTATCGTGGCTTTCATGTCCTGACTGTGTGTATGTGAACACACTACAGTACACGCGGCCCCTGGCCGGTGATCCTAGCTGCATGAAAACGTGCTGCGGGGAAGTGCTGCAGGCGTGTGTGTGTGTGTGTGCATGGTGTGCATGCATGTGTGAATGGGTGGGAGCGGTTTGCGTCTCGAGGACTCGGCAGGGTTGCCGCTCGCGTTCAACCGCCAGGGGTGTTCTTTTCCTGTTTGGCGTGTCGAACCGTGTGGTGATTACCAGGGAGTCGTAAGATACCACGGTATTTACGACTCCCTGGAGATAACTTTCTTACCGGTTTAAGGTGCAAATTTAAGGCGCACAGTGCGAAACCCTTGTGCGAAAGATATACCGGTAAAGAAAATGATCACCAGCTGGGCATGCAGTACCTGAAAATGCTGCTCATGCCCAGCTGGTGATGATGTTCTCGCTTCCCATGAAGGTCTCACCTTTTCAAGGGCGATGCAACACTTGCAATATGTAGAGGTATTAGCCAGGGAGTCGTCACTTCCTAGATCGGATTGCCATGGTGACAAACCTTTCACCCATAAGTACATGTCATGTTGTCACGTGATAGGGAGACAGTTCTCGCACCATGCTTGGCTCCAGAACTTCTCACTTTCCGTGCAGATTTCGACAACACCAGGATTACGTTGCAGCAGGTCTGATGCCTTCGTGCAATCATTGGTGATATTCACGGCAACCCTGGCTGGGTTTCAAATCACAAAAGCAGGGAGATTTCCCCTGCAGCTCTCACCCCCACACCCGGGAGTTGTTGCACTGACACTCATAGTTTCTACATAGAAAAAGCAAAAGTTGCTCACCTAGAAAAAAACAAAAGACCAACAGTAGCTCAAGCCTCGGCAATAGCTCACTGAGAACATGTAGAAACATACAACAGAATGGACACTACCTGCACCTGGGGTACCAGGACACTTGTACAATGTCATGTAATCTCAGGGTGCATGGAGGGGGGGGGGGGGGGGGTAAAATAAAACTCAGGATAAGCAGAAGTATACGTTGTATGGAAAATTCAACAAGACATTCGAAGTATATCGCTACTGGAAAGAAGAAGGAGAAAAAGGGGCAGCGGGAATAAGGCAAAAACGGTCTGGACCTCAAACTCAACGTGAACGACGGTTAAAATAGAATGATCGGCTGTGTGTTTCGAGTAGTATGGACGTAGCCAAAGCAGCGCTCTGCGACAATTGCCGCACCACTTCTCCAGAGCAGTGTGCGGCTAGTACCAGTTCAATTCAGCCTGCTGAGAACTGTCGAGATAATGCACGGGCAAGAAGCGGAACAAGCCAAAATAGCCTGTCCCAATGCATGCTTGAGTAGAAAATTACAAAAGGAACAACAGGCAATCGCCATCACCCACATACTTTGAAGTAACATAGAGAGAACGTAAAAAAGAACGTAAAATAATTTTAAAATGTTGGGGATAAATGAAGACTAGAGAGACTAAACGATGTTTTTCAATGCCGTGCATATGCACTCGAGTACTCTGGCCAGATAGCAGGACATAGTCGTTTTGTGTGTGTGTTCTGCTTGCCTAGTGGTGAACGGCAAAGAAGACACCACAGCTCATGTTCACGTGGTCATAATATTTTGTTCGCATTTTGTGGAGCAAAGCAGAGGGCCAAGTAACCAAAACCATGCTACATGTGCAAGTCAGAGAGCAGCTGATCTTGAATACAGTCACTCAGTAGCCTTCGACGCGAAAGCACGGCAAACTGAGCTGAACTCTGCTGCTAAGTTCATCGCCGGGAGATTTTTTAAACAATTTCCATGACAACGATGCGAACTTCAAACTATTCCCATGACAACCAGTCAAATACCAATGTTCTCTTTTCCTCGTCCAGAATAGAGAGAACTTGCATCTGGTCACTAGTGAGCGTGAAGTTGAAGATGGCCTTGTTCTCCGTCAGGAATTGTACTTGAGCGCTGTGTGGAACAACACTGATACCTGCGAGAGAGAGGGAGAGAGAGAGAGAGAGAGAGAGAGAGAGAGAGAGAGAACACAGGCGAATGAAATTAGGAACACCATATGCTTTTTTGACAGGATTTCTCACGTGCAAAAGGACCACAAAAAAAGGCTCTATGTGAAGGCGCGCGGGGAGGGGGGGGGGGGGGGGAGATTAAAAAAAGCGGCCAATCTGGGGAAATGCCGAAAGGGTCGCAAAACATTCACGCTCACACAGTCTATGTATATGTTTGCATCTCAGCACCCTTCTCCTCTTTCAGGGCAACCAAAGGTAGCAAGCAGATACAACTCCTGAAACATCACCGCACGGTCGCTCAAGTTTTTTAAAATTCATTTATCGATTTAGACATCTCCTGGCACGTCAAATGACGCCCTGTGAATCAGTTGCAATGAAGGCTGAGAGCCAATCATGAGTTACTTGCTGATTGCAATGTTCCAGGTAATGTTCCAGGCAATGTTCCAGGTAATGTTCCAGGTAATGTTCCAGGTGCTGGTCCACATGTATACCTACCTCGCTGTACAGCCCAGCGCAGACACAGCTGAGCTGGTGACACACCCACCATGCTTGCCATCTCCACAATTGTCGTATCACCCAGGACGTCAACAATGCCTGGCAAGAAGCACACACACGCGCGCACACACAAACACACACACACACACACACACACACACACACACACACACACACACAGGCACCCACACACACATATACACGGAAGAAGCAACACACATTCTACAGTACGGCTCAATGAAACCCGATCGCGAGAGTCAAGTACGCGCTGAGCACCCATAGATGTGCGAATACTGGGATATGGACTGGTGCCGGGCGCAAACTTGACTTCTCACTGAGCAGCAAATGAAAAAATACCAAAACACAATTGTATTGAGTATGCAACTGCACCATCATCAACTGTGTACTGTTCATCTGGCGAGGAGGCCTCAAGGCATGGACGGATGCCGAGTCTAACACTACGGGCTGCACGCATGGCGCGCATGAGCAGTGCTGAAACCGAGACCCTTGGTCGGTTGAGCTGCTCTTGCCCCGCCTCCACTGCTTCGGCTGCCTTCGCTATGTGTATCCCTGTGCGTTTTTGCCGGTGCTTGCACCATGATGGTGTGTGGATATTTTGTAAAAAAAACGAAAAAAACACACACAATTGCACACACATGCACACACGCACGCACACACACACACACACACACACACACACGTACACACGCGCACACACACCAGGGGCGGATCCAGAGATCTCTACAGGGGGGTTCCGGTTGAACCAAAATTGAACAGCCAAAATATTATGGAATCAGATGTGCGGTTGGCACTTGACGACAATCCGATTGTGTTAGTGGGAATCGCATGCTTTTAAAACACACTACGGACATAATAATATTATATTTTTCCATCATCGACCACACCACAACTGCGCTCTCCAGCCGGCCTCGACACGTTGCCACAGCACACCACCACTGCACCATCGCTGGAGACTGAGTCGGAGCGCAGTTGTGGTGTGGTGGACGATGGAAAACCTGTACAGGGCCAAATGCTGCTGCTTACCCTACATTGTATATTATTTAGTACGGAAGACCCTTTCAACTTCTTGTAAAGATCGAATATGCAAGCCATGGGGATATGGGTACGTTGAGAGCCAGGAATGCCGAAATGACAACCAAGTTACTTTCCCTGTCCATTTGTGCTTTCGGAAATTTTTGGCATTTTTTACAATGCGAAATGCTCTATAGCCACAGGACAAGAGCATCGTCTTCACTTCAGTGACAGAAACAACAATAGCGGAACAGTGTCGACAATTGTACAATCCTTCCAATGTCATCTGAAACACATCTGGCGCAGCACTCCGTTCCTGCGGAGGAACAACTAGTCACTACTGCATGCTGCAGCAAGTAGAGATTACTGACTTTGCTTGGATGTCGGAGCCCTCATCTTGATAGGCGTCAGCCTTTGGGTAATCCTGAAATAAAGATTATTATATTCTGAGGAGCTTGAACTCTACGTGCACGGTTCGAAGTTCGTTGAAGAGTGTCAGTACTCGGAACGTCCTTTCTCTTCTGCAAAACACTTGTCCAAGGAATACTGACCACACCACACCGATCCTGAGCAGCAGTGAATGACAGCGCCAATGGAGGTAAGTTTGGATCGTTTCGAAAGATCAAAAAGGAAACAACCACCCAATGTTGTCTGCAGTGTCCGTTTGTAAATCACGGACGTGAACACCAGTACAGACTACTATCCGTACAGTGTCGATCTACCGCACGCGCATGCAGTGCACTGACTGACAGTCTGTGCTCCTTGACTCGGTGACCAGGTGACTGCCACTGACTGAGTCTGTGATCGGACGGACGTCCTTTTGTGAACACGTGACATGATATTTTTCGATATTTCTCAGCCGCACACTTTGCAAAATTTAGGGGGTTCCATGGAACCCCCGGAACCCCCCCTGGATCCGCCACTGCACACACACAGCGTACCTGTCTGAGATCCCAGGGGTGAGAAGGCAGTGACGTGAATGCCCTGAGACTGACACCACTCAACCAGTGTTGGCTGTGCACAGTAAGGATGAACCTAGCAGCGCGGGAGAGAAGCAAAACAAAGAGCAGCGAATAGAGAAACGTATGAACAAATGGGACACACAAGCAACAAAGCCACTGCAGCAACACTGTGATTAGAAACAACTCATTGAGGAGACCACCTGTCTTGGGAGATTAGAGACAGTCTTCTTGGAGAGACTGCCTGGCTTGGGAAACTACCTGTTTTGAGAGACCGGTCATCTCATATACCAAGTCATGCTGTCATAATCCTGCCTTGAGCGACCACCACTCCCTAAAGATAACCTGTTTTAGAGACCACCTGTTTTAGAGACCACCTGTTTTATAGATCACCTGTGTTAGAAACCACCTGTTGTGACGCACCTGTCATCTCAGGACCCCAAACATGCTGCTGCCATGCAATCCGACCTGCTCAGAAAGACCACCCATCACATATGGATCGTTTTCTATACACCATTGCAAACAAGCAAGCAGCCACTGGCTGACATACTTCAATCTGGTTCACGGCAGGCCGGATACGACACTGGGGAAGGAGAGCCTCCAGGTGGCTTCTGTTGAAGTTCGACACGCCGATCGATCTCACCAACCCTTCGTCAACAAGCTGCGTACAAAGGGCAGGCACAGACACAAACAGAGGACAGAGAAAAAAAAAGGTTATGGAAATGGTCACATTATCGAGTCACCTAGCGCTGAGTCAACTAGCTGACGACTACACAGGTGTCCAAGATCCTCAGGTTCTGACCGCTAAAGTGCTGGGTATAAGGACTTGTTTAGAATCACCATTGTATTCGACTTGAGAAGTAAGGGTACGAAAGGCCTAGTTGAAACTATAATGGCTTCTGTGCTTCGTGTGCGGAACTAGAGTGTGTGTACAGTCAACTTCGCAAATAACGACTGCGGATATAACGACAATTCGCAAACAACGACAGAATTCCCATGCCAAGAGCAAAGTCCCATCTAACTGTATACATAATATAATGAGACTTCAGGTATAAGGACACTTCGCGAAAAAGAGCACTTTTCTGATGCCCCGCCGAGTGTCGTTATACGCAAAGTTAACTGTACACGCTGTATGGCGCTGGCACGGTCATCCCATCGGATTTCAACGTCCACGACAGCAGCAGCACACGGGAGACATGGCCTGCATACTGGGGAGTGCCTGACCTGCTCCATAGCCTTCCATGTATCGATGTGTTGCGTCTGCGTGTCCAGGATAGCATTGCCAGCATCATCCACAGGTATGCGGTTCTCCATCCCAACGCCATAACCTGTGAACTGCAAGAACAAAATGTAGAAAGTGTGCGCGCATACACGGGCACACGCACACACTCACACACACACCACACACACACGCGCTCGCGCGCGTGCATACACACACATGCACGCGCGCACACACACACACACACGCACGCACGCACGCACGCACACACACACACACGCACGCATGCACACACACACACACACACACACACACACACACACACACACACACACGTACACGCGCGCACACACACACACACACAAACACACACACATGTACACCAGGACATGTACACACAAAAAGGCTAAGGGTGCAATTAAGTACACAAACTAGGTTCGTGTGGCACGCAGTGTCTGGATTCTTAATTTCTTTTTCTTGGTTTGCGGTATGTTCAGACGTCAGAAAATGTAACAATCGATAGGCAGACCGCACAACAGGAGCAAGACTAGACTGATTGATACTAATAGGTTAATGTTTTGACCATTGTCTCCTTCACAATGATAATGACTCCCCCCCCCCAGGCGTGTGTGTACGTGTGTGTGTGTGTGTGTGTGTGTGTGTGTGTGTGTGTGTGTGTGTGTGTGTGCATGTGTGTGCGTGCGTGTGTGTGTGTTGAATGGTGCAATCCCAGCACAAGTTGCCATGGCTTCTGACGTAGCATTGCTATCATCGCCTCCGGCGATGGGCGGCAAAGGTCAAGGTGTGCGTGTGCGTGTGTGTGTGTGCATGTGTGCATGTATGTGTCCATACGTGCATGCATACATGCATACATGCATACATGCATGCGTGTGTGTGAGAGCATAACAAGGCAGATGAGGCCAATATGCCATACCTTCATGGCACATGGTGAATGAATGAGGAACAAATCCAGATAGTCACACTGAAGAGCCTGCAAGACACAAAATATCACAAATCAAAACAATGAGCATGCAAGAAGCGAAGCAAACATCAATTTAGCTTATTAATATACACACACACACACACACACACACACACGCACACGCACACACATACACACACACATACACTCCCCCCCCCCCCCCCCCCCCCACACACAAACACACACACACACACACACATACACACACACACACACACACACACACACACACACACACACACACACACACACACACACACACACACACACACACATGTGGCAGAGATGCACCATGACTCACATCAATACAGTCCAGGCAGCTCTGTCGTACGTGAGACGGATGATGCAGCGTATTCCATAACTTACTGGTGATGAACAAATCACGCCGATGAACACTGGAGCCAAATCGAGAGAGAAACAAACGGAATAATGTCGTCAACATGATGTGTAGCCCTTCCCAGTCACCCTCTCTCTCTCTCTCTCTCTCTCTCTCTCTCTCTCTCTCTCTCTCTCTCTCTCTCTCTCTCTCTCTCTCTCTCTCTCTCTCTCTCTCTCTCTCTCTCTCTCTCTCTCTCTCTCTCTCTCTCTCTCTCTCTCTCTCTCTCTCTCTCTCTCTCTCTCTCTCTCTCTCTCCATCACCATAATACACTCAATCATGATGAACATCTGGACTGCATGGGTACAGTAAGTCTACAAATTTTCGGCCCATTCAAATTTCGGCCCGCCAGGGCTAACACCCATTTCGGATGCATCAAATGTTCGTCCTGTACTGCTGCTGGTTTCGGGTCGGATCTCTTTGGCCAGAACAGACTGCATTGGCATGAAATTACCTAGGCACAGCTGATTGCAGATCGTTGAACACCTCTCCCAGTGTAGACTGAGTGCCGTAGATCGGAGCGCAGTCGAAATGTCGGTACCCTTGATGCAGTGCCTCCACAACGACATCTTTGAGTTGCGGATGTGTGAGTGTGGCGGAGTACGTGCCAAAGCCCAGCATCGGTAAACTGTGACCGGAAGACTGTGACAGAAGGATGGGCACAACAACACACGTACGCGCACGCACACAGACACACACGCGCACACACACACACACACACACACACACACACACGCCCAAACACACGCACACACGCCCAAACACACGCACACACACACGCACACACACACACACACACAAACGCACACACAAGCACGCACAGTGCATACCCGCATACAAACTGCTCCAGTTCGTCAGCACCCGAGGCAGGCAGATCTCCAAAGGCATGCTATTGCATGAGAACTTCACACCTCCTTGTATAAAATGAATCTAAACCTCACCCTGAGATGGATCACTAGGTCTGCTTCAGGGCCCGGCCGTAAATATCGAAAATTTTACCACAAAATTAATTAATTTCGCTTCAGCCCAACTCCTCCCTGCCTCCCGTCAGAACGAGAAAACAAGTTGACATGAACTGAAGTACATGCCTATACAACAAAAGTCGCAAGAGTGTGACTGCTCCTAGCCTCCTATGGCCATGTACATTGTATCAAAGTTTTCTGAAACGAAATTGGTCCCACCCCATAACAAAAAATTAATTTAGTCGGTCAGTGTCGTACAATGTTATCGCATGAGCTGATTGTTTAGTAACTGGTGGTGTTAGTGGACAGTATAGCGTAACTTGTAGTTCCTTGGTCCTTTCTCTTTTGTATAAATTAATGACTTCATTTTGTGAAAAAAGTTCGATATTAATTATTATACGGACGACCTCTTAGAGTTGGAACATACCAGCTTGACAGATGACGTGGGATGCCATGAAGATGATGATGATTCATTGTTAGTACTTAGAGGCGCTATGCTGGCTCCTTGAGCTTCAACTGCTGCTGCTACTGCTACACCTGGTAGGAAGGAAGACACATAGCAAATGTACACGCGCACGCACATATGCATGCACGCACACGTGCACACACATCATCCACTCACACACACACACACACACACACACACACACACACACACACACACACACACGCACGCACGCACGCACGCACGCACGCACGCACGCACACACACACACACAAACAGACAAGCACGTTAATTTTTGGCGCCCATCACCAAAGGTGACGATAGCGATACTTCGGTAGACGTCTTAGAAACCTACACTGGACAATCGAATGTCACTACATAGCCAGGCCTACAACACACAGCTTCGCAGTACTGTAAAACCGGAAAAATTCGGTGGAGATTTATTTTCGGTATTAAACTTCGGTACAAGTAATTTTTACCTGAAATAAAATGCGACCATGCCGTGCCACACACTGTGCTAAACGCATCTTTTGGACCTGGAACACTGGTTTACCGAAATTTTTGCGCTACCGAACTGTTGATTTTGGGAAACACGGAAAATATTACACCACCGAAAATCCCCGGTTTTACAGTAGCTTTAGGGGGTGAATGCTGTGAATAATCCTACAATTATTCCAAACCGTTGCCTTGCCGTTTTCCTGATGCAAAACGTGGTCACGTTTTCTTGATATCCAAAATATCAAACCGGTCATGCAAAAATTATTATCATTATTCGAGCCAGCGCAAGCGAAAAAACCGGATAACGGAGCTACGTCATGAACTGAGAAACGGCTTGAGAAGTTTGAATACGGGAAATCCCCATTCAGGGAAGCGTTTCGCGAGTTCAATGCTTCGCTACGTCACAAGTATGTGACGTAGTGTTCTATGGCGCGGACCATCGCGCAGCTGAGTTCCGCAGCTTTCTTGTGCTTTTTATTTGAAGGATATCCGTCAAGGGACGGCTGAGTTTCGGTCGCTTGACTGAAGTCGATTTTACTCTGGAGGATTGTGCTTGCGCTCTTCGCTCTGAAATTTGAAAATAGTTTGGACTTTGAAGTTAGTCGATGATTCTTTGACAGCATGAGCAGACGAGCTACGTTCACCATGGATTCGATGCCCTCGCTGCTCTGCTCCTTGAAGACGAGGAAGAATTTGTACGCTCCGTTGCTCTTGACGGGCCACCTGTCCAAAATGTTTTGGAGGAATCTGACGACGATGATGACAGTAGTGACAGCCATTTCCTCGACAAGGAGCTCGACATCGATATTGCTGCCCATCGGCATGATGAACTGAGCAGCACCGACGACGGTGATGCAGAAGAAGAGACAAGCGATACTGACGATGTATTTGAGGACCTAGAATAAGATGCTGGTATGGACGTTCCCCAACATGCTGCAACTGCAGCCACAGTTTTGCCAAGATGTGGATGTTCGAAAAATTGTTTGGCACTATTTTCTATTGAGGATGTCGATCAGAATCGGCTGAACATGGCAGAGTTGGAGCGACCTGATTTTGATTTACTGCTGAGTGGTGTGCTGGAGGCTATGCATTGTGGAGACAAGCTCCCTGTCCACCAGAAAAAGCGTAAACGCTCAGCTTTCAAGTACGCTTTCCAGAGCAAGCGAGTGTGTGCCGGTGCGTTCCGCTACATCTTTAACATCAAGAAAGATAAACTGTGGAGTTTGTGTAAGCACGTGGAAAGCGACGGTGCAACGGCGCGGCGACACGGCAATGCTGGTCGACGACCATCAAACGCTTTCACGTTTGAGGAAGTCAAATACGCGGTTACTTTCATAAAGTCTCACGGCGAACAGTATGGCATCCCACACCCTGCACCGCTACATGGTCGAGATGGCGTTCCTCCCGTGTTTTGCCTGCAAGCCAGACATACAAGGCTGTGCACAAACTGTATGTTACTGCAGGGAACTCGGCTGGCATTCGTGTCATGGGAGAATCTTCCTTCCGCAGCATCTGGCACCAATGCACGCCGCATTTGAAATTTATGTCTCCACGGACTGACGTGTGTGATCTGTGCGAGAAACTACGCCGTCGGGTCATGTCAGCTTTGACTGAGCAGGATAAGGTGGCCGCCTGTTCAGCACTGCAAGACCACATTGCAGCAGCACAACATGAGAGAGACTATTATCGTGGAGCTACTATCTCTGCTGCCGAACACCTACAAGCCAGTGCCCAGTGTACGCCACCATGTGCTCCATGCTCGCAAGCCACGTTCAAAACGCATTATACATTCGATTTTGCGCAAAACGTCAGCATACCTCAGGAATCGCGACAAGTAGGTCCTCTCTCCTTTAAAGTTCCAAGGAAAGTGCAGGTGTTTGGGGTAAACAACGAAGCTGTTCCGCACCAAGTGAACTACTTGATTGACGAGATGGACACCATCGGCACAAATGGCTCTAAGAGCCATGGTCCCAACAGTGTTGTAAGTCTCCTCCACCATTTCTTGGCACACCATGGTTATGGTGAAGAACAGTGTAGCCTCTCTGCCGATAATTGCTGTGGCGAGAAAAAGAATAAAATTGTTGTTTCCTACCTTGCATGGCGCTGTATGTCTGGCTTGCATAAGTGTATTGAGCTGCATTTCATGATCACAGGCCACACCAGATGTTTGGTCGATGGCTGCTTTGGTTTGCTGAAGCGCAGCTATAGGCGCAATATTATCCATAGCATGGCCCCGTTAGCTGATGTAGTGAATGGTAGTGCTGCATGCAATCAGGCGCAGCTTATTCCTGGCTCCAATCTGGAGTGGCGTGAGTGGGATAAGTTCTTTATGCAGTTCTTTAAGCCCTTGGTCGGCATTTCCAAGCTTCACTACATGCGCTTTTCCAGTGCTGAGCCTGGTGTAGTGTATTGCAAAGAGAATGTTCATGCTGCTGAGCAGAGGCTTGCCTTGCTGAAAGTGCCTGCAGAAGATTTGCTTCGTGCTGGTCTACCGAAAGTCCTCAGTCCTGCAGGACTGACTGCAGAGAGGCAGCAGTACCTCTTTTCTCACATTCGCGAGCATGTTCCATCAGAGTTTCAAGACGAAGTTTGCCCGCCACCTACTGCATCTGCAGAGTGAGACAACGTCGACCAGCCTGATATGGCACTTTGATCATTTCATATTCGTTTCTATTTTCGTGTACATGCTTGTGCCATTGCTCAGTTACACACTTGCGCAACATTGCTCTTGATTACGCCTATTTGCGTAGATGCCCTCATGTACTCTAAAGAGTCTCTTGATGCTATGATGTATAGAAGACTCAATATCATGTTACCTATATGTACAGTATTTTCACTTGATTTGATAATACTCTCCATCTGCTTCATTGGAACAGCTTTGTTTGGGCCATCAATTATTTGTTCAACACCGCTGGAATGTTTGCGCTTTATTGGATTTTCCGTATGTTTGGCAAGGACATAGGTGCAGACAAGTGACTGTATCTATGGTGTTTCTTGAGATTTTTGGGTCTGTTTTTTTTTATTGGTTTCTGCATGAAATTCTGAAAGCTCTCGTATTGATATCTCAAAACCGCCCTCCAAGTCCATTATCTGGGATTTCGCTTGTGCTGGCTCATTTATAGAAAAGAAAAGGACCACGGAACTACAAGTTATGCCATAATGTCCACTAACACCACCAGTTACTAAACAATCAGGTCATGCGATAACATTGCACGACACTGACCGACATTACCGTCGGTCAGTGTCGTGCAATGTTATCGCATGAGCTGATTGTTTAGTAACTGGTGGTGTTAGTGGACATTATAACATAACTTGTAGTTCTTTGGTCCCTTTCTTTTCTATAAATTTGTCCTTGGCTGCGCTTCGGTCCTCTGAGCTGTGCTGAGGAGCTCCAACAGAGCGAAACAGTTGCTGTCCACAGATTTGAGTATCCATCGGAGATGTACGCACGGGCCACGCAATATGCTACAATTACCCTGCCTAAACTCAACAATCCACGTGAAGTCAACCTGGATCGTGAGAAGAAGAACTCACCCTCTACCCGCTGTTCAGATGGTGCTGTTTTGTCCGGTGGTGGTGGGACCTCGTCATCCATGTCGATAACACCGTCCGCCGCCGGAACAGGCGACGGGGGAGAGTCGTCAGCGTCTGCATCGGCCATCGTCCAGCTGTCCGCGTCCACACGCACACCGACCGCACTCAGTACGCGCGGCAGCTTGGTGACGTAATCGTGATGTCGCGTTACCTGTAAGCATACGCAGGGCATGCGGGTACAGCAGGAGTGCTTAGACTAGAGATCTTACCAACACACGAAAGAGCAAGCGTGCATATGAAGAGCTGAGAGGCAAAACCCGTTACATCCATTTCATCACTTTTCGGAAATGGCCAAAACACGTTTTATTTTATGTGCGATTGGTGTCTAAATCCGAATTTGGGTTCCAGTTTTGAAATGGTTCCAGTCAGATTTTGAATATGAAATTTTGCCTGCTGGTGCCTCTCGGCCTTTTGGTTACACTGAGCTGTAAATCACATTTTCTCAAATTTAGGGGTTATCTTGTTTTGCATCTCAGTTCTTCACATGAAACCTAATCTCATGAACACAGTGTTTGTTTTTGTTTTTGTTTTTGATTCGCACATCAAAACGGACTCCAATTACAAGCAAGGGAATGAGGTCAGGACTACAAACACATGACGCTGCTTGTGTGTGAGTGTGTGTGTGTGTGTGTGTGTGTGTGTGTGTGTGTGTGTGTGTGTGAGTGCGTGCATGCATGTGTGCGTGTGCGTGCGTGCGTGTGTGTGTGTGTGTGTGTGTGTGTGTGTGTGTGTGTGTGTGTGTGTGTGTGTGTGTGCATGTGTGCACGTTGCTAACTCACCAGCTTGGATAGGTCGATGTTGATCAGTCGGGGATGATCCAGTTCGATGGGTGATACACCAGCTACGGACGTACTGGCCGTTGCTGTGCGATGCAGGAACTTCAGCACCCAGTCTGACCTGAAACACAGAAAAGTAAGTACACATGACCGAGTTTATCAACGGATGCTAAACACAGCTATGACTTCTCGTGTGCTCTGGATGGCAGTCGTGAGTCAGTCAAGTGAGAATTCAAGTCGGCAGGAAAACCGCGAGCTCCCATGTAGGGAGAAACACACAATCCTCTATGAATGTTATGATGCTAAAATTCCCCCAAAAAAATTCACGACTTTTTTATTGCCACTCTGGGGAGTATTGTACCAGAGCCAAGCCACCGCTACTCAAACTGATTGGGATGGAGTTTGTGAATTGAGATTAAAGCTGTGTAATTACCAAAGAAAACAAGACTTGATGTTCTCACCGGCTGTAGGCCACCACACAATCTCCAGCAATAACATCGGCTAGCAGTGTCTTGAAATGTGCTGGCTTGGCGGTGATGGGCGCACCTAGCAGATACACATTCTCCACGATACCGGCGGAGTCTGCAAATTATGCCACGCACACACACGCACGCACGCGCACACGTACAGTACACATGGATTACGTGGGACGAAACCTCACTAATAGGCACCCTTAGGGGTTGTCGCAAAAGTTTTTTGTCGTCCCTGAAACAAACATGATTCATTTGGGGGGGATGGGGTGCAAGCCAAGATCGCAAGTCGACCGACACTGTATATAATGACATGTACATGCATGCGATTTTTGTCGTCCAGCATGGCAAGCTGTGTTCGTTTCAGAGGGAGGGGAGGGGGTCCAAGTACGAAATGAACTATGTTTGTTTCAGGGATGACAGAAAACTTTTGCCACGACCCCTTAGCAAAAAACGTTATGTTGTACAGGTATTACTGTAAGGGAGGAAAATACCGTGATTTGGGTTCGACCTTTAGCAAGATGCACGCTATTTATAGTATGCTGGTGCCACGAGAAGAGCTTTTATTTCAAGCGGTACAACTATTTATGTCACCATATACGCGATACAAGGTGAAATGCGTACGGACTATGCAATATTTGGCCAAAACTCGTACCGTTCGTCACAACGATAAATCAGCCCCCATAACGTTTTTACGCTGCAGCTTCAACGCTATTTGGGTGATCAAGGCACGAGTACCGTAAAAAATAGCGTTACCGTTGTTTGCTAAGGGTGTCTAATATCTGCACTGCCGGAAAGGGTGACACGATACAAGGTGAAATGCGTACGGACTATGCAATATTTGGCCAAAACTCGTACCGTTCGTCACAACGATAAATCAGCCCCCATAACGTTTTTACGCTGCAGCTTCAACGCTATTTGGGTGATCAAGGTACGAGTACCGTAAAAAATAGCGTTACCGTTGTTTGCTAAGGGTGTCTAATATCTGCACTGCCGGAAAGGGTGACACAAGAGAACAGCTCAAAGAAAAAAAGAAAAAAAGAAGTGCCGAAACCCGGGATTGAACCAGGGACCTTTAGATCTTCAGTCTAACGCTCTCCCAACTGAGCTATTTCGGCCTGCACATGGCTGAGTGACTCTCCATTGCACTTTCTGAAAGATATACCGGCATCTGTTGCGCATGCGAGTGCACTTGCAGAGTTTGTCGGCGCCATCTTCTTTTCGTTCGTCCAGTCATATCTGTAGTGGAAGGTACTTTTTTGGCCAGAGCTAGAGAGGACCACACGACGGTCACAGACACCAGCACGAACAGTTCACCAGCAACACTCAAAGACAGCAAGTAGTTGCTACTGGTGGGCTGTTTGTACTGGTGTCTGCAAGCGTCGAATGGTCTATCAGGTCGAACAAAAAGAGAGAGAGAGAGAGAGAGAGAGAGAGAGAGAGAGAGAGAGAGAGAGAGAGAGAGAGAGAGAGAGAGAGAGAGAGAGAGAGAGAGAGAGAGAGAGAGAGAGCGCATTACCAATTATAACCCCCAAAGAGTGTGCACAGGGTTCGCACCAAGTCATGAAAATATTATTCAAGGGTTTTCAAGGGCCCCAAACCCCATTTTTTCAAGGACATTCAAGGACATTAGTTGGTGGGCTAACCGTTGGTTGGCCACTCTCATGTTGCAAAGTTCAAGGACACCCAAGGTCCGGGAGACAAAAACTTGACTCATAATTATTACCCAATCGAGCAGCGTTAACGTATCTATCAACAATATTCATAAAATACAGGAATCTGGATCCAAAATAACTAGTCCTTATTTCCGCACTTGCGCTCGCTGCAGGCAAAGCTTTTCGCTATGTCGCTGTCCGGAAACATCCTGCAGAACAGTTTTGAAACTCCCACGCTGGAACGGTACGAGTAGTGGCATGTCACTACTTTCAATATCCAAAGAATCTCCGCTTGGAGGCAATCATTCCGGGTCACTCCGAGTGTCGACGCAGCAGCAGATTCGGTGGCACTACATGTTATTGCAGGTCCCGCAGTAGTCATGTACTACTAGCCGACGATGTCGACGTGGCGACTGGAACAGATGCTGCTATCGTTGCTGAGTCTGACGGAGACGGCTGGGTGGAAACGAAGAACTGGTTCACGGAGACCACGTTCTGCTCCGCCAGGTCTTTGTGCTTGCCGCCTTTCGCGTGGCTTCGAAGGGCTGACTCGCCCATCGCGGCAATATCGACCACCTTTTTGCACAGAGTGCATTTGGCTTGTCGCTTGTTGCCGGGGACAGACGCCAACCATCTACTTTGAAGTACGAAACTCGGTCTTCTGTAGCCATTGCTCCTGAAAAACACACTTGACACCTGGCATGATTGCAAAATGCTTCACTACGGCACTACTTACTATTATGACAGGCAAAACCATGCGCCCCACAAAGTCCTCCGAGAATGAAATGATGAAGAAGAAAGTGGCGATGATCGACGGTCAAAGTCCGACTCGACTCCCACTTTTGTAGCGAAAAGTTGGTTTAGTTCGCCGTTGCGACACACGTTCTCTGCACATGTACTAGCTGCTACTCAGTACTACCAAGACTGGATCCACTCTTGGTACTAGATCTACGGACTACGGTACCGGTTACGGGTACCCAGCAGTGCGCGTAGACCTACTGCATGAACGTGAGTAGATCTACCGCATTCAAACCCCAATTCAAGGAAAAACACACTTTTTTTCAAAAATTCAAGCACCCACACGAAAATTCAAGGATATTCAAGCACTTTCAAATCCGGCTTTGACATTTAAGGACTTTCAAGGAATTCAAGGAGTGGTGCGAACCCTGGTGCAACTCCGCATATGGGGTCTCCGATGGCGAAAACTCACATCACGTGTCTCAGGTACGTTCGTACTAAGTGCAAACGAAGGATAGCGTGCGCACAATCCAAATATCTGTCATGATCATGCTGGGGATTTGCATACACGCAATGAGTTTCTGTCAGAGAGTGCTTCGCCGTTTTCGCCATCGGCGTGCCCCATAGAAAGGGTATCGGGAGTTGCACACTCTTGGGGGCGTATATACTCTTGGTACTACTACTAATTTCCTGTTTTCCCCACATGTCGCCAGGGAAACACTGAGCCCAACCCAAGGGAAGACCCAATTGCAGCGTGCAGTACTACCTTTGTACTTGGCAAGCTCCTGAAGAGCGTAGAAGATGAGTCGAGCTCCCATGCTATACCCAATCAGAGTAACCGGACGACGAGCCTGACAAGTCACACGATCCCACATGTACACAAACATGCACACACACACGCACGCACACACGCACACACACGTGCGCGCACGCATAAAGATACCACAACACAAAACGTTGAGCCCTAAGCTGAAATGCAAGAATCAGTTCAATTCGAATCAAAGAAATATTGGGCAACAAAGAGATATCGGACACTGCAGGGAAAGGCCAGTCGCAGATGCTGTAATTTCCCAAATGTTCGGTGTACTTTTATTTTCGGTACTTTCGGTGCATCTGTTTCATACCTAAAATTTCAATACACCGAACAAACACTAACACACATAATCCAATAGGGAACTGCTTCTCTGTACCGAAAATTTCTGTTCACCTAACCTGGCCTTTTGCCATCATACTGAAATTATTGAGCACCGAAAATTTCTGAAATTAGAGTACCCGAAAGTGCCCCACTGCTAGGATAAGCAAGAGTACATGAAACGCAGAGTGTGCAGCTCGGATGGGTTGCTGTTACGGCAAAATTACGGGATTACATCATTTTAGTAATTTAATATGTACAAGCAGGATTCAAACAGGTCTCTTTCTGAGCAACTGCAGCTCAGTTGTACGCACTACGTCGCTTCCTGCCGGCTTGACGCGTACATATCTGCACCAAATACCGGTATGGCACACCAGTCATGTTCGTAGCCTACAGCCACCAGACAGTGTGGCGGTGGTCCTGGGGCAGCGCGAGCATAACGACTGCGAAGAGGATTAAAACTTTTAACAATACTCACGTCTTTGGATGTGCGCAGGGCATCCGCCAGCAGGCGCCCGGCGTCCTCCGCACGATTCAAGCAGATCTGCCACGGGTTGTCTATGACACTGGCCAGCTGCAGCAGGGTGACGGGCCAGGCAATGGCTGAAAGCAGAGCTGTGTTCACAAACAAACAACGTCAGCAATGGCTGAAAGCAGTGCTATGTTCACAAACAAACAACATCAGCAATGGCTGAAAGCAGAGCCGTGTTCACAAACAAACAACATCAGCAATGGCTGAAAGCAGCGCTGTGTTCACAAACAAACAACATCAGCAATGGCTGAAAGCAGTGCTGTGCTTACAAACAAACACTGTCAGCAATGGTTGAAAGCAGTGCTGTGTTCACAGACAAACAACATCAGGGCCGATACTTGTTACGATTTTTCGGAAATGCTCTGATTTTACAAGTTGTGCCGACAACGCAACCGAACATCTGCTTCACTATCTTGCTTCGATGTTCACAAAAGTGCCCTGATATGATGTAACGAACCCTTGATATGATGTAACGGACCCTTGATATGATGTAACAGACCCTTGAAATACGGTACATGCACAGGTAAAACGCTCCACACTTACACTTGATTATTGTCTGCTTCAAGGTCTCCGTAACAACGTAGCTGACAGCTGTCTCGGTTAGGAATTTTGACAGTGCTGAGCCCAGCTCATGCAGTTCTCTGTACCGGTACACATACACACACATATACATATACACACACGTACACGTACACATACACACACACATACACACACATACACACACGTACACACACACACGTACACACACACGTACACGCACACATACACGTACACATACACGTACACATACACGTACACATACACGCACATACACGTACACACACGCACACACACATACACACACACACACACACGCACGCACACACATACACGCACGCACACACACACACACACACACACACACACACACACACACACACACACACACACACACACACATGAAATGGAGCGCATTGCAGCAGACTCAAGAGAGTTGTACCTGCCCAGTAGTATTGTTTCGAGAGGAAGACAAATTTCCACGTGTGGACTATCCTGATATTTACAATTTCTTGATAAATGTGCCCAATCCCAACATCAAGGAGCAGCTCAAGGCCTACAGGAGCTTGGAGGGGCACAAATACTAGTACCTTGTCAGTGGTTGGGTCGGCGATGTTTGTGTGTTCCCAGTGTCCAAGTCTCACACTTCTGAAAACAAGTTTGTCATCGCCAAAGTCCGTCATTCCCAGTCACTTTCCGGCACCCATTTGCAACCCTGGATTGATGCACAAACAGACGAAAGCCTGATTTGGGCGCACTGCACTTGCATGGCTGGCCGTGGAGAGTCTTGTTGCCACGTTGCAGCATAGTTGTTCAGCCTGTATTCTCATATGGGTGAAAATCGTGTCAAGCAGGAAAACTCTCTTGCTCCCGATTTCTGCGACAAGTATGTATCCTCCAAGCCCGAGAGATATTCACCATTCAGAACGCCGGAAGCATTCCATTGCCGTGCCAACGGTCTACTCCATCCATGAAGGAGGTGGAGTATGCTAGGATACGGGATATTAACTTCACTGCACTCGATATCAAACAGCACATTGACTTCACAGCACCTGTTACTAAACAGCATGGTAGCAAGCGCCGTAGGTCGGATGAGAAGGCCAGTGTTGACATCGAACAACATTCAAGTGCTTAGCTGGGAAAACTGTATGGAAAACTGCGAACTGCGTCAAGCCGGAAAGCCATCTTAGCTCTCCCTTGTTCCCGACTTCAAACCAATGGCTTGAACAGCAAACAACAACACTAACTTAGGACCACACGCAGAGTTACCGACAAATCACATCATTGAGCGACCAAGTTTCGTCGGTCTCTGACCAGCTTTCAAGGATGTCTGCTAAAGCCATCTTTGTTCTCCCATGATCCCGACTTCAAACCAATGGCTTGAACAGCAAACAACAACACTAACTTAGGACCACACGCAGAGTTACCGACAAATCACATCATTGAGCGGCTAAGTTTCGTCGGTCTCTGACCAGCTGTCAAGGATGTCTGCTAAAGCCATCTTTGCTCTCCCTTGTTCCCGACTTCAAACCAATGGCTTGAACAGCAAACAAAAACACTAACTTAGGACCACACGCAGACTTTCCGACAAATCTCATCATTGAGTGACCAAGTTTCGTCGGTCTCTGACCAGCTTTCAAGGATGTCTGCTAAAGCCATCTTTGCTCTCCCGAGATCCCGACTTCAAACCAATGGCTTGAACAGCAAACAAAAACACTAACTTAGGACCACACGCAGAGTTACCGACAAATCACATCATTGAGCGGCTAAGTTTCGTCGGTCTCTGACCAGCTGTCAAGGATGTCTGCTAAAGCCATCTTTGCTCTCCCTTGTTCCCGACTTCAAACCAATGGCTTGAACAGCAAACAAAAACACTAACTTAGGACCACACGCAGACTTTCCGACAAATCTCATCATTGAGTGACCAAGTTTCGTCGGTCTCTGACCAGCTTTCAAGGATGTCTGCTAAAGCCATCTTTGCTCTCCCGAGATCCCGACTTCAAACCAATGGCTTGAACAGCAAACAACAACACTAACTTAAGACCACACACAGACTTTGCGACAATTCTCATCATTGAGTGACCAAGTTTCGTCGGTTTCTGACCAGCTGTCAAGGATGTCTGCTAAAGCCATCTTTGCTCTCCCATGATCCCGGTTTCAAACCAATGGCTTGAACAGCAAACAACAACACTAACTTATGACCACACGCAGACTTCCCGACAAATCTCATCTTTGAGCAGCCAAGTTTCGTCGGTCTCTGACCATCTGTCAAGGATGTCTGCTATAAGGCGCGAGGCATGAATCTTCATTCCCAAAAGTACTCCGCTAGTTAATCTATATCAGACTAGCTGTTCATCCTGGATAACCATTTTGAACCCGGTACTCCCGTAACGGTGATAAAAAAAACTGGTCGCAGCATGTGTCCCATGTTTCCGCCGACTTCAACCTCATATGGAATCGTAAGACGGTAGATCCGTTACGCAGTCATTACTAGGTTATTCACCCAGTATGGCAGTTTGGTGCAGAGACCCTCCATTCCTGGCTTACTGTGTAATCTCTATTGCAAGCTCTACAAGTCTCAAGCTCTGAGTAACGAATACAGTACGGTGACTTGTGTAGTGTGTGCAATGAAGGTCAGCTGGCTGTGGAGCCAAGTATCTCTCTGCACATACGGAATTCACCCGAGAAGCGCTAGCAGATGCCAGGAGATTCTTCCAGCGTGTGTTGTTCTCGCGGAGCGTGTTGGGAAACGGCTCACTAAGACCTTCTCCACTCCTCCTGCAGGTGCATCTTCAGCAGCTTCATCAGCCGGAGAACCACTTGGTGCTGCCAGTACAACATCTACTGCGGCTCAAGAAGGCCCTACGCAGTGGTGCTACTGCAAGTCCATGAAGGCTAACGTGGTACTGCGATATTACAACACATACTGTAGCACCGTATTTTCTCATTTATAAGTTGAAACACCATACTTAGGACCTCAATTTCCCGGTTTAATGTCAGTTAAAACCCGATTGAAAGTCGATTACCCCTTTTTTAGTTTCGTTTTTAGGTCGTAAAAGGCCGACTTATATTCGGGAAAATACGGCATTTGAATGTTCCATATGGCTTGTTTGCAACTGAAGAACAAGCCAAACATTCAAGAACTGGACTAGTCACGAGTGTGGCAAGGTCAAATCTGGCAATATTCGGGCAGTTTCCCTGTACGTAATGGTGTATGAAAATAACGTAGGAAATGCACGTAATTTTCATACGCGAAAATCCGCGCTGTTGGGTTTCGCTCTACGTGATTTCTCCATGATCTGCAGCATGCCTTGTTACGTTGAAGACGCGCCGGCTGCATGCGCCCACCGCATGCTCCGCGAACCTAGACAACTTTCGCCATTTACGGTAGTTTTCCGCGTGCTGTGCACTTTGTATTTCACGCGGCTTGAACTTTGCCACTGATAAATCCGGAAACTGCGAAAAATATTTCAAAAAGTCCTACGGAGGACCGAACGTAGGAAAGCCCTTGCCTACGGAAATCCGAAAAGAGATTTACGTATGAAAGTTGCCCTCGCTCCCAACCGCGTACAACATGCGGATTTTCATAATTACGTGGAGAGAAACCTCCCTAATGTAATGATATGGAGCCCTGTGGCAGAGGATCGCTAGCCTTGAGCCTGATTCATAATTCATTTCGCATACGGGGAAAGGCGTCGCGTCGCGAAAAAGTTGACCTGAGCTGAACTATTTCGCGCACGGGAAAGTAATCGCGCGACGGTCGCGCAAACTTTCCCGTACGCGAAACGAAGTATGAATCGGCCTTAAAGTCCCTGGTTCGTGACCCGGTGGCGACAGTCAATTTTTTTGACTTTCCTACAACTCTTTCCGCTACTTATGCTACCCGTGACGGCTCACCCTAAAGATACATGGCCAAGTACAAACAAACACACGCATGCTTGCACGGCCATCGAAAAGGGTACGCTTGAAAAAAGAAAAGACAAGCACCAGTGCTTACTCGCTCTCCCAGCGTACTCCGTAAACCTCGTCTCCTTCATCCAAGCATGCCCACTGTGCGGTAAAATCAGCCACATCTTTTCAACGTAAAGAAAGAAAATGGCATACACAAATAACCACGTACCACACACACACACAAGCAAACAAACACACACAAACACGCGTGCTCGCACACACACACACACACACACACACACACACACACACACACACACACACACACACATGCACACACACACACACACACACAAACGCACACACACACACACACACACGCACACGCACAACATAAAAACATAGTAATGTGGTAGTGCACCAGAAGTCCTAAGGAACAAATTGTACTGCATGAACTGAAATAAACTGGTGGTAACTGAAATCCGACCTCCTGGGCGGTGCGTTCACTTTCTAGTGCCCTCTATTTTGTAGTGCTATAATCCCATGCCGGGTCTTTGCGATTTGAGCGCACCGCTCAGGGGGTCTGATTTCAGTTACCAGCACTGAAGTATGATTATCACAAGCTTCTACCGGTGGCTCACATTCTTTCTGGAGAACACCATGACGTGCTCTGTTCCTACCTTTCTCCAGGTCTTCTCCGGGTAACCAGCCAGTCACGGCTATCACAGATCTTAGCGATGGACGCTTCTCGCCGACTGTGCGGATTTCAAACTCCTTGACATCGCCCAGACGCTTCTTCATCTTGTACCCTAAACACGAGAGTGCATGCGCGCGCGCACACACACACACACACATGTACACACACACACACACATGTACACACACACACAGACATGTACACAGACACACACAGACACACACACACACACACACACACACACACACATAATTATTCGTATGTACATACACACTCACACACGCAGACAAAGGAACATAGACGCAGGTATACGAAGAAAAAAACAACAGAAAAAAATTCAGCAATGGCTTCCATCCAGTCTTCAACAAAACAGACAAATAGACAGAAACACAAACTGACAGCCCCCTCCCCCTCCCCACGCACACAAATGTCAAAATCTCAAATACGAGTGATTCCCTTACCAGCAAATCCAGCACCAGCACCGGTAAATATAGTCGTGATCAAGGCAACGCCGACCGCACTGCCCAGGATAGCTGCACTGCCACCGCCAATCAACAAGCCAGCACCGGCCGCAACAAACGGTGCCGCCAAACCTCCAGTAACGCCTGCATCAACAACAAGAACAAGAGACAACCAGAAGACTAACTTTCAAACTGCAAAACCCACAGCCCCACCCACAGCCCCACCCACAGCCCCACCCACAGCATTCCACCCACAGCCCCACCCACAGCCCCACCCACAGCATCCCACCTTCTCATAAACGTATCTCTCATTGGCGATGGTGCCACCGTGAGAAGAAAGAATTCAAAAACTAGAACTAGAACAAGAGCAACAAGAGCATCAACAACGACGACAACGATGACGACGACGACAACGACGACAACACTGCAGGATGTGACGGGACAGAAGACGGGACAGGAAAAGGCAAGACAGGGAGGAGAGCAGGGTAAAGCAGGATAGAACAGGACAGGGCAGGGAAGGGCAGGGCAGGGCAAAACAGGGCAGGGCAAAACAGGGCAGGCAGGGTAAAACAGGACAGGACAGGGCACAGCATGACATCTCCTGAGAGCAATGACGTTCCAAACTGACCGATAACAGTGGCACCAATCACGGCCGATACGCCAATCAGCACAGCCTTCTTGCGCCGCTGCTTCTTCTTCTCAGCTTCACGTGCCGCCTTCACTTCCCTGGTGACATCACACACAAGTCCAATAAGCCCATTGCGCAATGACGCAATTTGTACCATAAACACCCCACACAGCCACCTGGGCATGGTCGTCTGGGGTGTTGAACAGTGCATTCCTGATCCCAGTGCAGTGTACTCACATGCATTACTCATACATTCCATATTTGGCAATGCACAATGGGCTTATGAAGGTAGTATGAATCAGATGATGGGGTGCACAGACAGGATGAAGAAACATGACATAATCAATGCCGCAGAAGATATACAAAGTAAGAACACAAGTCGGCAGCCAAGTTCAGTTGTGTATACCGTATTTTCTGGAATAGGGGCCGGTCTTATATTACCGCCTGTCTGAAATAAGCACCACTTCATTTCAGGGCTTCAAATTGGGGGGATTTTTCGGTTTCGCAAACTGCTAAGCGCCTTGGCCAGTATTGCCGAATACGGTATATGTTGGGGGGGGGGGGGGGTCAACATTAACATACATGCACGCACACACGAATGCACACATACACACACACACACATTCACGCAATTGTACTTATTCACCGCCAAAACTGGGCATGTTGGTCTCCCCGGAAGACGGCAGGGAATCTCGGAAAGATGACTGGATTGGCTATTGAATCGCTTAACGGCCAACGCCCCCTGAAATCCCCAGACTCTGGGTGGATTAGGAAATGATCTCACTTATGGGCTCACCACACCACACGAACTGGAGCATGAACACCTGCATACCGTAGTGTCTTGTATTAAAGCCTATCTCAAACAGAAGCCTGTCTTGAATAGAAGCCTGATTTCCAAGATACACTGTCGGCACATAAGCCTGGTTTTAGTGTTGACAGACATAGAAATACCGGTCTTGTAAGCCTGTCTCATATAGAAGCCTGCAAAATTTCCCCAAGAAAGTCATAGAAGCCGCGGCTTTTATACACGACTTCACGGTACATGTAAGAATGCCAAGGGTGAAAATCAAATCAAGATAAAGACGGTAGATTGCAACTCATCGAGACACCCGATGTGCACGCACTCAGTCTCACACTCATGCAGAGCTCGCAGCCAGGACAGTGCAGTCTCCTCCATGACAGTCATGGTATCGGCGTCAAATGCCAAGGTGCTGGAAAGACGCTTGAGAAATGCCCGGCACCTGGCATCGTATGAACCTGCAGGCGGGAAAAAAGAGTGATTTACAAACCTTAAGTACTCCTTAAAAACCGGCACAAAAGGTGAAGCAAGTCAGCAAATCACACGGCGGTGTGCAACGGGGTAGGAATAGTAGAGTAAGACATAAAGGTCTACTCTGGTTAGCAGACAACTTGGGTCAACAGGTTTGCTTAAAACGAGTAATGTGTACTATTAGTGATAATTATCCGGGAAATACACCACACGGATAAGCCGCACCCAGATTTTTAACGAGGATAGACCTGTAACAATGTCAAGGGCATCCAAACGGCTGAGAACAGTGGAAGAGGGAAGGGAAGCGAAGGAAGGATGGGGGTGGGGGGCAACCGTGATTTCTCCAAGCACCGCGTCCTCCTCTTACCTTGCTCCATACTAGCCAACAACAAGTCCTGCAAGAACACAGTCAACACACACAAGGAAACACAGAACACAATCACAAGAGAGCGATGACCACCCCTCATACGAACACCTTTCCGTGCAACCCGTATCCCTGGCTAGGTACAGCGTAGGTCCTCCTACGCATAGCGCGGTGTCGTGAGAACACCCATCACTGAACTTCTACGTAGATGTGTACTGTTGTGGAGTGGCAGAAACTTCGCTCCTTCTGGCCAGCGCCAATGTTGCTCTTCAGACTTCCAGACTGACATGTCCCGTATACGTTCCCTTGCCCATTGCCAACGGGCTGAGTCATTAGAGCAGGAGACTGCGAAGCTGAGGGTGGTCAGACCGAGCCCCAAGTTGGGTGCCCATCGTCGTCGCGAACGAGACTTGCCGCATCGCTCTTGTATGCCTGTTCTTTCACTTCTCCCCGACCCCCCCACACAGTGCAAGAGTTTCTTGTTAACACTGTAAGGGAGTTTCAGAAGAAAAAAATACGAGCTCACACAGCGGACAAAAGGGGCGCTCCAAATACGCAGACGTCAGATGGAGACAACACATTACGCCAGAAGTGACGTGTGCAGCGTTAAAAGCCAATCAAAAAAGGAGGCTTGCCTAAATAGTCCTGCTGAGCAAACACCAAGAATACACAACTTAGATGATGAGCCAAGGAAAAAAACTGTTACATGGAAAAAAGTGGGCACAGGCTCCTCTGTGGAGCTTCAGCGACTACTGTAGTATGGTAAACATGCAGCACTAAAACCACAACAATAGGGCCAGTGAAGAATACATACGTGTATGAGGAGTTGTGGGTGTTTGCTATAGCGTTGGTCTTCGTTGATCATCTCAATGTAGAACTGCCTGTCAAGTCCCATGTGACCGGCAATGATCTTACGAATGTTGGTCTCCACTTGATCAGAAATACGCATGCACACACAGACATTCATGCACAGACACACATGCACGCACACATGCACATGCACAGACCCAGACCCAGACCCAGACGCACAATTTTCCACAAATACAAACAAACTCAATCTGCGGACAGAACCGTTTCGTCCTTTGCGGAATCCTCAGCGCAGCACAGAGGAAATGAGGCCGGACCTGGTAGCAATGAAAAATAAATTTTCCAAAGCCAGATAAACCAGGCCCGAACGTACCTTGCCAGAGTGCTCAAACTGACAAGTCAAATACAAACAAGTACGCATGCATATGAAGGCCTACACCCCCTACAGCTCTTTCCACAAGTGCAAACAAAGCCTAATGCTTGGGAAGCTTTCGCCAAGCGAGCCGAGATCTCAGCAGTCATCTGGCCATCTGAAGAAATACAACTGCCGACATACGTAAAGTCAGGCACCAGCTCAATGCTATCCAGGCAACTCTAAAAACACACACACACACAACTCACCTCGCTTGGGCAACCCGACAGTTTTGACCAGACTGGCCAAATAGCCATCGCTCCAAGATCTGGTCACCACAGGCAGAAGAACAACAAAAGGAACAAGAATCAAAACAGCCTCCCGGCATAGTGCTGGAGCATCGCTGAAGGTCCTTGGGTCTGGTGGTAACAGGAAAAGTTTCTCCAGACCTTTCACTTTCCAACTTCCAAAAACTAGATCAAAACAACGCAAGGCATGAATGAAACAAGACAACTACGAATAGGAAAAAACAAACACAAGAAAACCTAAAACACACACACACACGCACACATGTGTGCACTGAGGACGCCAACTCACGAAAAGAGATCAAAGGCAATGGTTCTTGCTCATGACTGATCGGAGGTGATGAAACTAGCACAGTTCTGGCTATGTGACTAACACACGCCTCTGAACTGCACAGAACAAAACACCCTGTTCCAGCAATTATGCCCTGTTCGCCCTCGATTCGATGAATCATCGGCTACTTCATTCTGAGTTACCACAGTGCGTGACAACTGGACTTCACCAAAGCATCTCAACTGATGCAATAATGCAATCGCATAACCCCTATTGGTGCGGTAGGCTTTTACCACTCTTTAGGATCACCTCATCATCATTCACGCCAGTAAGTAGCAGTCATATTATAATATTATTACCTCACGAGTTATCTAATGCTTACGCCTCATCCACACTGTACTCGGAATGTGAAAGAGTTAGGACAGTGCGTTGCTTCTGAGATTGTCACTAGGCAAACCGCATGCTCCCTACAAATTGGCTACAATGCAGCCCCCTATTCTATTGCCGAATTGAGGTGGGGGTACTAGTAATTACTTCCAGAGCTGAAATTTAGGGTAAGCACCTGAAGTATTGGGGTGAGAAAAATATCATTTTTTAAATAATGAAACAGAGGTCGGAGGCGGATCATAATTTCCAAACGAAGGTAGGCTCGCAAATTGAGTGAATGCTTGCGAGCCTCCCTTCAATTTTTAATATTTTAATTTGTTCTTATCGTATGGTGGACACGATGTTCGGGCTTACTGGTTTCGGCCCACGGTATACAACTCGCTGAGGTCGCAGGCACACAGCGAGACGATAGCAAAGCGATTCTGCTCTCCCACGTCGTCCCATTTGAACTTGGGCTCGCCAGCTTCTAGTTCTGCTTCCCGTTTCTCCTCGTTATCGTGTTTCGCAGCAGCCTCTGCAACCACAGCTTCGCTGGATTCGGCCATTCTAAACTGACACGCATTACAGTAGGGACAGTATTGATTTTCGGAGCAGAAGAATACTAGCACAGTCCAAATCAGGGAGGATTTCAAAGGTCGGTTTGGATATGTTGCTCTGGGAATGGAGAACTAACTATTATTTGAAAGCAGTTCGTTCAAGGTCATTTTCATTCTGATTTGTGGACTGCCAAAGAAAAACTACCATGCTGGTTTGAATGAGTGCTTTTGTACGCATTACGTTACTTTCTCGGTGATGAGGTCACTGCACGTACTAGCTAGTGAGTAGCAAAATACGGGCATTTTGTTTTATAACGTCCCGGTCAGAATCATGCATCCCATGGCATAATCAGATAATGCAAATAAAACTGTTCAGTGCTTTGGAGTATGTACGTGTGTGTACAATAGTGCCTAGTGGGCCCATGGGGTGATTTGGACCAGACAAAATAATTTAAATAGATGAAAATACTGCTTCCTCCAGTCTGATATCCTGTTGGCTCGGGTATAGCCTACTATCATAAATTCATAACGGTTCGGCCCAGAAAAACCGTGTTGAGGTGTAATAAAATATAAAATAAAAGACGAGACAAAATGGAACATAGTCTACCATAAACTGCCAAAAACTGAGTCGGAAACTTGATAATTTCGCCGAACTCCAAAGAAAGAGTTCGTCTGGTTGGATTCAGTCCATGGTCCAACAACATAATAGAAAAGCCGGACAACATTGACTACGGTTAGTCCGAATACTCCTTGGACGAAAAGACGAAATACATCCCCGGTGAATATTTCCGCTTATAGTTACATATGGAAGAGAGGGTCCAAGTGGAAAAATGTTGTCGGACTCCCAAGGTTCACGCCGAAGAAATCTTCAGATAACCGTCGTTTTTGACTTGGAATAATCATTCGCTTATACAGCGCTGCTCAATGAAATCCAGTACACGCCACGCCGGGCCGCGGTGCGCAGCCCTACACCTGCAAACACTGGGCTGTGAAATGGTGCAAGGCGCAAACCCGCTGAGTGACGACGCGACTGGATTTCATCGGAGTAGTACTGTAGTTTCGCAGGTACAGTTCGATGCCTGTGATGCCATGGTAATTCAATAAATTCATGCACACAGTGCAAACGCCCCCGCCGGCCTGGGCTGCCCACCTGTCACGGCGCGTTGCCCCCGGTGTCGCTGTGGCAACCGGCGCCCGTTGCCCGCCTGACGGTAGCCAGAGCAAGGACCTATCCGCCGCGGTAATGCAGAAGACGTCACGGGAAACGGGACCGGCGTACGTCACGGCAACTGACTATAAAGAACAGCCGACAATGTGCCTCCGTGAAACTTGAAGAAAATACTCACTGCAGTATTGTCAGTGTGGAGTAGTGCGTGCTGTATAGCCGAGGTAGCTACAACCTCTTCTTCTCAGTTTGTTTTGCAGTACACGTATCAGTGGAAATCAATCCCTTCAAGTCAAGGTGTCGCTAGATCCTGTCGACCATGTTTATCGGATTGTGCGTGGAACGAATTGGCGAAAACGGCAAGGTGTCAACTGAAACGCCGCACGTGCAGGCCGCGTTTCACCGCGTCGATTTTACATCGGCCAGTTTGAGAACGGAGCTGGATGCGGCGGCTATGTTTTCTGCCACGGTCGGGTCAACGACGTGCTCCGTGATGGCCGCCTGGAACCGAACGTACCCACCTTCGCCGCCATAGCCCTGCGTAGCCAGCACGGCGGCGTGCGACACGAGGAGCTGCTCGACGACCAGGGCGCGGCGGTCCGATTGCGTCGCTGCCAAGCCCAGTCGGTCGAGCTTGCCAAGCAGACCTGCCCGGAACGTGTCGCACTGGACCGCATCGGCAATCCGCCTCGTGATCGCCGTTGCCTCGGTCAAATGCAGGGGCTCGAACTCGCACTCGAGGCTGAAGCAGCGGCGCAGAATCGCCTGCCACTTACGTCGCTTCAGCTTCCCGAGCTCATCTCCCACGCCGGATTGCTTACCCGCTGGTACTGACATGAATTTGACTAGCTGTTGTTCGTAGTCAAGGAGACCACCGGCTGTTGCCGGGATACCAAATCTCGAGATGGCCTCCATCTGGACGGTCTGTGCCAGTGACAGTGCTTTCTGCCAGCTGTTGACAAGGCTGAACAAACGGCGGAGATCCGACGGCACTTGTTCACCGATATCCACGGGGAAGTTAGGCAGTGCATCCTCCAGATCCGGGCTCTCAAGAGTCTCGACGGCCATCCGCAACGAGAGTACACCCTCCTCTGGTGTCAGCTTCCGTGCCGTCGGTCCCGGGTCGTCTGTCGACCGCACGGGCTGGTTTGATGTTTCCTGCTCTGTGATGGACGACGTCATACCACGGCACTGCTGCAGAGTTACGGACCGCGATCTCAGGCCGGATGATGCAATCACGCGGCATACCGTTGCTGCTTTTGCTGCTGCCACCGCAGGGCTTCGTACGTGTTCGCTGCGGGGCGGACACGGTGCGTGCGAAGTGCGAACACATACCAGTGTACATGCCCCGCCACTACGTGCACTGCAGGTTTCGAGCCGACTGGTCGCTGAACTTGCGAGCGCTGGCACATTGCGCAGTGCCACTAGTCGTCGTAGCACGCCAGCCATCTCTAAACCAGTATTCACTATAAATAATTTGATTGCCAGGACGCAGGAGGATAGCGATTCGTGAGCAACACCACTCCACCAGGTCCAACAGCGTGACTCGAGTGATGATCCCAGCCTGGTCGCTGTCCAAGTCTGAGAAAGATGATGGGTTCAACAGCACTAGCATCAATGGTTGCGCCCAACAGGTGGTCCGTGGCTGTCCAAGTGCTCAGCTGGGAACAGTCTTCTCTTCTTCAGCTCCGAGTCCGGCTTCAGGTGAGATACAGTACCGCAACCTGCAGAGGAAATGGCCAAGCAGCTAGCACTGAGTCTGTACTGACATAGCTAGATACTGAGTATTTAGCAGCTAGAATTTTTGTCGTGGCATTTCTTTTCAGCTTCCGATCTTTCCAAAAAAATGGATGCATCGATGGGGGATTTCCCATACTAAAAACCTATCATTCTTGTTGATATGGCAACATGCATGGTGGCTGCGAAATCGGAGAAATGCAAATGGCAGAAATATTCAAAAACGGAAATTAATGATTACTTGTAGGCGTCGTCTCTGCAAAGTTGTTTGGCCTTGTTTATCCTGTAGCCGTGTGGGTGCTGGCTGAGGTTGCTGCTCATCTTATCCGATCGTGTAGTGCAGACAGCAATGGGCAAGCAGGAGCTTTCAGCCAAGCGCGTGGTAAAGTTGAGTGGGCAGGACGCGGCCAAAGCGCAGAAAGTCGCCGCGTCCAAGTTGGAAATCACGTCCGTGCGCGATTTGAGGCAAGTGACACAGTCATTGTGAAACATTCGTTCACCAATGCAATGGCTTATGTGGCTGTGGGCGTAATTCTTGTGATATTCATTGCACGGTGTTAAAGTGAGAGCGTGTAGTGCAGAGGTGAGACAACAAAAGTAATGTGAGAATTGTGCAGTGAGACAAACATTCCATGAACTTATTATGAAAAGTTGAAAACAACTTTAGAGCAACCACATGTCCCACGATCAACTGAGTTGTCACAACTGGGAGTGAGGGTAACATGAATGCAGCTAACACGGTTTCACCTCCTGTTGTGCACTGGTGGTGGGACTTACCATATCAGTGGTACGGCCTTGGTCGTACCAGTCGTAGCGGGTGCTATGCCCCTGCGTGGGCAGGTGGTCTTCGTATCCAGGGCCATTTTTACTGGATATAACAACCCCTGGTCCTAGTTTAGTGGTCTTCTTAAACAGGTGATCTTGGACGGATGATCACCCTGTCAGAGTGGTCCTCTCGGCAAGTTCTACTGTACACATCTTCCCTGGCTGTCCTTCGTCCGCTTCCCTGATCACCCGGTGAACATTGGGCTGTAGCGAGTTCACAAAGCTGCCAGCACGGCAGCATGACGTGCTGGCAATAGCGTCATCTCCTATCCTGGATAGTATTTTAGACAGCGGCACGTGGGATCTGAATGTGGCCCGTGATCTGCGCCGTGCTGACATTGC